ATGTGTAAATTCTGATTCTGATTTCTAATAAAGACATTTCTATTTTAAAAAAGGACGGTATAGACGTAAAAACCATGCTGGCCCCTCATCGAAGAACAGCACGGTTATAGAAGATTGAAAAATTGTTCTCTCGTAAACAGAATGGGGCATTCCTTCACTACTCTCTTAATTTAATATAATTCAATTTACATACTTCTTATTATTCCACTTTATCCGTTTCCTTTATCCATTTACTCCAGTAACACATGAATTCATCTTCTCTGTTTCTTAGCCTATATGTAATTCTTTCCATTTCTTTAATATCTTCCACTGTTAACTTCCATGCATTAATAGATGGGGGTTTCTATTTACAGTTTTATTTAATTGTATTATTTTTTTTATTTATTAGTATTATTTTTTCGTTCTAAATCTTAATTTAATTATCTTTTCTCTCTTTGAAGCTTTTCTTTGGATTTTTATTTATTTTTATTTTATTTCATGTATGTATTCTTGTATGTTTCAAAAAATTACATATTAAAATGTGCCAGGATGAACAAAATATGTGATGAAATAAGACAACTTGTAATGAAGTAAAACAACCTGCAATAGTGGGAAAAAAAGAAGCTCTCTCACCTCATAGCCTTTCCTCTTCTTCAGCCTCTTCTTGTTGAGTTTCTTACACGCGTACAGTTTCCCCGTGGCTTTCATCTGACAGGCAGAAACCTCCCCGAACCCACCTTTCCCCAGAACGCGGAAGTCCTGGAACCAGTCCGCGTCCATGGGCTGCATCTCCAGCCACTTCCACTGCAGGAACCTCTTCACATACATGCTCTCCAGGAAGAAAGTGTAGGGGGCTTCTCGTAGGAAATCCAAAGTGGTGGCCAACGCTGCGGCGAACAAATCGTCCCCTACGGTCTCCTGGCCTTCCTTCACCTTAGCTACGATGTCCTCGGACAGGAAGGGGCAGTAGTGTTTGGCGGCGGCGTCCATGTACCGCTGGATGATCTTCGAGGCCTTCTTCGCCCGCTCAGAATCCTCGGCCATGTCGTAGTCTTCGATGTCTCTCCATAAGCGACTAGCTCCATTATACTCTTTATTGGCGTTTAAGAATTCTCTAAAGAGGCGTTTGCCGATGGGTTGATCCACGCAGACCGACTCAAAGGACAAATCCACGGTCTCTGCCAGGCCCTCGCACACGGTGATGTGGGGCAGTTTGAGGCGAGAGTGGTACTTCTTATCTCGAGCCGCTGCAGGGTTAGACCCATCGATGCTGCCCGGGCGTTGATGTAAGCAGAGTTTGCTACCACCGTGGTCAGACCTCCTATGTCCATGTCGAAAGTGTGCGACTGTTAGGCAACGCAAAGAGGGGACATTGCAAAAAAAAAAAAGACAAAAAGAGCAAAAGGTAAATCCTTAATGCAAAATTCTCATTGGTCGAGGATGATTGAGGTGGGAAGCAGAGGTGAGAAAACAGGGGATAGATCACAGGGAGCATGAAAGACAAGAGACCTCGAGTCTGTTGTTTGAGTCAGATCCAAGGACTCCGTACCAACCCCTCATACCACTCACACCTGAGTCGACACCTTTTGATAATCCATTAACACCCTAATGCCCTGGACAAAGTGTGCGAGCCCAGCACAGGCAGCTGGAGCCGCTCAATCAAGTCGGACATCACAATAAGAGACTTTGATGTGGAAGAAAACTTTGCTGAAAGATTTTTTTTTCCAGAATTGGAGAATATCGGGGGGTTTGGTTTCCCCAGAACTTGTTGCACCAGTAGCTAAAAATACTAAAATATTGCCTAACCCAGCCTTTCCCAAACTTAAGACTGCCGCGGCCCCCTTTGAAATACAAAATTAGGCCGGGGCCCATTATGAAGAAAATAAAATAAAAAATGACTACATGTATAACTTCCAGTAAGGGTAAAATGATTGGACATTACAACATGATATTGTGGCAAGAGAGACACAAGTTTACTAAACATTATGTCCATGAATAGTCATGACAGACCTTCTTAATCACTTAAAGGGTAATTCGTGGTAAGTCACCATTATTGGGATATTTATTTTATTTTTAAAATTGGTGGAGGGCTTTTCGCGGCCCACCTGCAGTACCCATACGGCCCACCAGGGGAAGCACTGGCCTAACCTAACTCTTCATCAGGGTAAATGCAAATACATATTCTAATCTTGGTAAGCCTGCATAGACAGCAGCAATGGCTACAACCAAATGCCATTGTTGTGCACCACAAGTGTTTATACATTTGCAAAAATGTTTTAGCTTAAACACCGAATTTACTTCACACCATTATACTGTCGTCCATATTTCTGAAAATGTGACCTGAAAGCCACAACTCCTGTATCAGTTTCTGACTTTCAAATGAGGGATCAAGTGAATTTCCTCAGTGGGGTTTTCAATATTTGGATTATTCAGACACTACATGATTGTTTGGTTGATTAAGAAGTTAGTGGATATTAAAAGCTAAGTGCAGGTTTTTGAAAGGAATCCTGTTTGTGATCCACAATGATGCCCCATGGATAATCTAAATACTTGTTTGTTTTTTAAGCTACATGTGATTATATTACAGTATATTATAATCTTAAGCATACAAAACTGTGTGTCATATTTCAAAATAATACTGACATACCAAGTGATTCATCATGTCCAGCCCGTATTCTGTTTAAAATGAGAAACTTGGGCTGATTCACACTGCATGGAAGAGTTACCCGGAACAGTTTTTCAGTCCTGTGACTCAGTTAAGATTTTTATTTAATGACAATGTGAACAGCAAAAATCTGATTTTTATTTTCAAATCAGATTTTGGCCACTTTCATTTGTGGATTTCCAGAGGAGTTGGATACAGACCACATTTAAAAAGTAAACAGCCAGACAAAAAATAAATAAAATCTAAGTAGAAATTAAGGCTTGCTGTGCGAAGGCAGCCGAATATCCAGCTTCTTTTTCAGGAAAAGAATACAGTGATTATCTTCCAATGTTAGTCTTAATAACCATATTAATGATTTGTTTTTTTTATTTCAGTGCTTAGACATAAAATCAGCAATGATTCATTAAGTGGGTACTTAATTTAGCTTTGAAAGACCCCCTCTTTATGTGGACTACATTGGATCTGTGGACAGAAAGCAGTAATCCTTTAGCACATGCCAGACATCATTTAAATCCTGCTTCTATCCACTTGAATTGACTCAGACCGCTAAAGTCTCTGCTATTAGATTTAGCTTAAGATTTAAAATAATTGACTCAAAAATAAGAGTGTGTATTTGGGCTTACACTTCCATGAGAATCTCTCTTTTCAAAAATAACAAAGAAAAACCTTTCACCTTTTGCTTAAGGATTGTGAAGCATTCCTTTTTAATTGGAGATTTTGAGAGGGGGAAAGTGGGCTTAATGCCACACTGGAACATGTTTTGGCTGCTGAAGATCAGACTTGTTAGGTAGAAACTAAAAAAAAAATAAAAAAAACTTCCAAGTGTTGCAGTGCCTACAGCATGTGCTTCATTCAGGCTCTTATCGGTTCTCCATGTCAAAAACATTTGGTCACGCAAACCTCATCAAAGAAAGAGCCGCAGTCTGAATATCAACGGCTGCTTTTGTAAACCCTTTTCTAAGATAAGTTTCTCTTTAAATGATATTAGACATATGAAAAAAGAGCAATATAAGACAAATGATGTAGTAAGGAAAAGAGTTAAAAATGTTGAACTCACCTCATCTCTCTCTCCTCTGCGTTGAGCATCGACTTTGTCGTGGCTCTACTCCGACAACCACTGATTCAGAGCACTCAGGTCTGACTGGAGACAGACTCGATCCCTGAGCTCTTTCAAAAATTTCAGTTTTGAGGACCCCGAACTCTTTGAGACTTGTGGTTCCTTTTTTTTTAAAACCTGGTCTCTTGCATAATAAAATCCGTTTTGTGACTGACAAAAAATAAGTCAATTGTTTTTTTCAGCTTGAAAACCCATCAATTATAGAATCAAGTTATTAAAACAATCTATATTTATTTTTGCAAACTTATATTAGATTACAGAAAAAGGTATTTGGAAGAGTCAGTACATGTGTTGCTGAGTTTTTAAAAGGGAGATCTTTAAAGGGAGTACATAAAGACCTATGCAACCACACATTTATTTTTTACATCGATAAATTTTGAAGGTCTATCTTTTACCACTGGCCTCTAAAAGGATACTATAAGCTACAATCGTCGTAGGGTTCATATACGTAATTCACAAACAAAGCTTATTTACCTAGAAGGAGCCTGGGTTATAAAAGTCTTTACCTTGCTGGTGCCATTATTCTGTAAACACTAACCAAGGCGTTATCAGGGTGGTGATGGAGAAGTCCTTTTAAATCCAGAATACAAAAAAAAAAAAAAGAAAAACTCTAGCAAAAAAAATAAATCAGGAAAACATGGCTGCCTACAGAACAGAAGGAAGCCAGCCCAACACAATAGAGGATAAGAAACTATTTCAAATTATTGCCCAGAACACAAAACAAAAAAATTCATCAACACACCTGATGGAGCCCCATCCTGTGTTGCCATGACAACTGTATCAGGCATTTCAGAAACCATGGTAAATGCACTAACAGGGCATGTTAAAGCAGACACTTTTGGCCATCTTTGAACATTTTGATCCTCGTCATGTCTGCCGCTTTGTCATCGCAAAGTAATAGGAAATAACTATTCAAACAGGTACATAATACATTCTCCAACAGCAGTACGTTTTACTGAGGTTTGTTTTTCTTTTTCTTTAGAGTGGGATGGCTTATTGAGACGTGGATTAGACATACAAAGACTTGAGCGTGGTGCGCCGGGCCGACAGATTACAGTTCCCTTGGACGACGCCTCCCCCCAGAGCGGTGGTGGTGGTGCAGGTGCACGTGATTCAGGAGCAGAAAAAAGATGGGTGCCATGCACACCTCTGTTCTTTCAACATCATCTACACCCCTGAGAAAGCCGGACAGAAATACAGGCATGGGGAGGGGGACGGGGGGGAACGGGGGGAAAGGTTTGAGAAGCACACACACAAAAAAAGGGGACCTAAATTCCCACAATAAAGGTGGGGGGAGGGGGGGGGGGCTGTGCTTGTTGGAGTGGCGTGGCATAGACGATTTTAGTCCTCGTCCTCGTTCTCGTCGTACTCTTCGTCGTCGTCATCATCACCCATATAAGACACTGGAGTCTCCACACGAGAGCCGCTGTAGTGAGAGTCATTTGAGCTGGAGGCCATGGTGCCGTCAGTGCTGGAGGAGAGGAAGAAAAACATTCATATAAATTCAGCATAGAGATAAACCAGTTGCAATTTCTTCAAGGTCTGACCTGCTGGTAGCAACGATGCCTGATTCTAATTTTCTTTGACAGCAACAACAAATGTTTTTTTTGGAACTTTTCTTTAATCACAATTTATTTTGTGTTTCAAAATAAAACAGTCTGTTAAAACTTTCTATTGATTTCACACTTAAATGTAACATAAATCAAGTATCTCCTCTGAAAATAACTCTGTGAGTCATGACTGTCTACAATGGGTGTAACACCGAGTCCTGTATCAGTTTCACTCTTCAGTTTTTACATCGCCGGACGGCCGGCTGACTCCTCCCCTCGCGTATAAAAGTTGTTTAATTGAGGGACTAGAGAAAAGAAGAATAACATACTGTACTCACTGCTTAACTGTGTTTCTAGATCACGCTCATTTCAGGTAAATTTACATGCATGTGAAATACCAGCATAATAAAGATCACTAGCATTAGCATGCTAACACAACAATGCAGCGCAAGTTGTTTTGGTTTCATGCTGGTGCTCAAGGGCGACATCTGCTGGATCAAAAAAAAAAAACGCATGTAAAGCCTTTAACTGTTTATTACAAAAAATCTTCAAAACTTCACCAGGTAACATGACCATCACTCTTTCTTACTCAGACAAATCTCCCTAAAAGATCTGGAGTGTGAAACCCTTCATTCCCTGTATTTCTAGATATTTTATGCCATAAAATGTACAGGGGAAGTACAACAAACAACCAGAGTTAGTAGGTTCACATTAAAAAGATTAATTATTGGTAGTCTCTGTGTCCCTAGTTGCTGTTACTTAATATAACTCAATAAATCAGAGAGAAGTTTACTCGGCTGCACTCTCCAGACTTCTGAAAAAAATAGATTTGCTGTTTATCCTGCTATATATCTGTTGTATATTAATAAGCATTAATCTCTTGCATATCCAGCAAAGTAATCTGTCTCACAGCAGGTCAAACTTTAATCACAAACTGAGGTTTTATCCTTTCCTAATGTTTTCACCATAACCAAAATATATTAGCAATAATTATTTAATTATATTTTAACATACTGTACCCAGTTCAGGGGAGCCAACGAGAGAGACAGTGAGAGCATCTACATACATATTGACAGCACCTTGGGCGTGAGTGGGGGGGAGGAAGTCCTGGAACAGCCAACATGTTTGTTGTGAGTGTGGCTTGTTTTTGTGAGTGTCATAGTCCACATGGTATAAAACGAGCAGCTTGTGTGTGTGTAACACTGAGATCAGCTCAGAATCAGCTCACAAATGTGAGAACCTGCCAGTCACGATCACAGCTGAACAGGCTGAAAGTGCTCAGTTCTGGTCATCAATCCCTGAATTGGTGCATTTCTAGTGAAGTGTGTGAAAAAAAGTCTTGGGTCGTATTACAGGCTTTATTACAGAAATGACCGCTCACCTGCTCGCAGGTAACGTGTTCCATTGGCAGAGGACCCTCCAGTGATGTAGACGTTACTGATAGGACCCTTGGCCATTTCTAGGAAAAAGAAGATGATATCAACATGCAGAAATACAACTCCACTACAGTCACTGGTGGTGTAACAGATCACAAATATCACAGTTCAAATCAGCAAAAAATAGGGAATTTACAATAACCTTTTCAAATTCTCAAGTAGCCATGGCTTAAACTGTGCTTTGTAACAGCAATGTATCAGATTCTCCGTTTTATTCACTTTATACGTATTTCTATAGCTCCAATAAGAATAATACAAGCAGTCAAATAAACCTGAAGTCCCTTTTTATTAGGAAGTGTTTTGCCCAAATTGGCTTTTTATGAATTTCTCTGAATAGAGATCCTAGAATAAAGCAAAAATAATAATAGATATTTATCACCTGCTGGTAGAGACTACACCCCCCAACCAAGTCACCTCGGCACAGTTATTTCACTGAGGGCTTGGAGAGCAAATTGGAGCGTTGTTCCAGCATCAGAAATGCCCCCAATACCACTTCAATGCAAAAACTTGCTAATTCTTATTCAATGCACCAATCTCATCCTACAATTTAAAAGGCAGCCCAAGTAAATGTGTTTTCTCTTCCTCTACTGGTACCATTTAGTTACATCAGAAGAAGAAGAATAGTGCACATAAGAGAAAGGAGTTTTAAAAAGTTGTGTGAGTAAACCTGAGTAAATCAGTATATTCAGGGCTGGTGCACTGACCTATAACATAGGGCTCCAGAGCTTTGGGCACCAGGCTGCGTGCGACCTTCAGATCTTCTGGAGAACATTTCCCAACCTCCAGACCACACGCCATGCCCATCCGCTTCAGCACCTCGATGTCATCGTGGATCTCAAACATGCTGTCAAAATTGAACAAATACTCGAACCTGCAGGAGAGAAAGAGCGAGAACAGAAAACTTAAAGAAGGTTGTGACATCAAGTTTTCTACAAAAAAACATATTATAAATGTTTCTTGTTGCATTGTGGGTTATAGGATCGGCCTAATTCAAAACAGAAAAAAAGGAGCACACTCAAACAGAAATAAAACTTCAGGTGCACGAGCGCAAAAAGAAAATAGATGACAAACAAAGCGCTGATAAAAGCTCTGTGCTGAAACGCGTCCGTTGTTGATCAGCACGCTGCTACCCTAACAAAAATATCCCTTTAATTAACCCCCCAATGAATTCACAATGAACAAAAAGTCCCAAACAAACAAAATATGCAATATGCTCTACGAAAGTAGCGGTCACACTACACAGGACTATCCATGCTGAAAAGCACGATTACCTCTTGTACATAACGTCGTAATACAATACATGCACGCTTTATGTTATTATGAAGCGTGCTCAGTTTACAAACAGGCAGAGAGAGAGAGAGAGAGAGAGAGAGAGAGAGAGAGAGAGAGAGAGAGAGAGAGAGAGAGAGAGAGAGAGAAGAGAGAGAGAGCGGCATTGCGTCATAGCTGGGGCGGGGCCTCCCGTGGGGAAAAGAATCACAGAATTTTGCATTTCTGCACCCCTAATATGTATCATAGGACAGTGGATGTAGAAGAAAAGTGACTATTGGGCCTTTGAATACACTTCACATTACATAACCTAAAATATATAATCAAAGCTCAGCCAGGGGCCTGAAGAGTAAGACACACAGTGCATGTGTTGGTTACAAGGGGCATTTATCTCTCCTTTACAGGATGATGTGATTCAAAGCTAGATTCAAGGATCTAAAAAAAACAATTGGGTCTGAGATTTGATATGTTGCCCTTTGATTTGATTCAATGCAAACTGATAATGGAATCTAAAGTGATTTTTTACTATTTATTTTATGTCACTGAGAAAAAAGACGCAAATAAAAATCATTTCAAATGTTGACTGTAGTCTTTAGCACACAACCATGCCAAGGTGAAGCCCCTCACAGTTCTTGTTTGTCATTGTTCTTAAATTGACATCCAGCTCGGTGAAATGCTGTCGGTTTGATATCATGTTACGTGGATGAGATGTGTTAACCATTTCACGAAAGCAACACGGTTCAGTTGTAAGCCCATAAAAACAGGCCACAGACGTTGTGATACCTGAAGACTTCAACGAAGACTTCAATGAGTTGTGACTGAGGATTCTTTTCCACCTTTATAAATGAGCATTCATTATTGTTTCATTAAGATGCCAGGGGAAAGGTTCACATTTTAGACCTTAGAGTCAGCTGCTCCATTTCCTCAACCAGTAGAAATCCTCTCTGATCATTTTTACAATAATAATCCTGGAATCCAAACTTTTTCTTGAGGAAAAAAAACAATATCTACAATATAGATGTTCTTTATTGGCTGTTTCAAATGTTTCAATCAAAACAGGCCAAAGATGTTGTGAACATTTAAGACCATATGATTTACAATAACCTCAAACTGTTTGCAGTGGGGGAGCACACAGGGGCTCTTGGACTACAGCTGCACAGATGTCTAAAGGAGACAGCCTCTGGTTAGACACTTTAATGTCTGTTTATTTTAACAAATAAAATATGAGCAAGACTACAAAAAAGAATGCACAGACTCATTTAAAAAGTGCACTAGGGTGCTGACTCTGCTGTGCAGCTGTAGGTCCACTCAGGTCTGATTTAACAGCTGTTTTGTTGAATTGTTTATATGTTTCTATTCTAATTCCTGCACAGGGTTTAATTCCAGTGAGCTTCTTTTGGTTGGTGATTTAAATCTTGACTGGTTGACTGCCTCGTCTGATAATCTAAAAGTTATGTGACTCACTAAATTTAACTCAATTGATCAGTTCCTCAACTCGGCCCAATACTAAAAACCCATCAAAATCTTCCTTACTTGACCTTATCTTAACAAACGCTCCCCACAAGTACACGGATACAGGTGTGTTTGCAAATGACCTGAGTGATCATTGTACCATTGCAGCTACAAGAAACTCCAAGCTTCCCAAGTCAAAGCCCAACATTACATGCAAAAGAGATGTTAAAAACTTTTGCATTTCAGCTTTTATGCACGATTTAGCTGCCTTTGAGTGGAGTAGAGTTGCTCCATTTGATGATGTAGAGCTGGCTCTGGAATACTTTTATGATGAATTCCGACATATTGTCAATAAACATGCTCCTTTTCGAAAATTTAGGGTAAAGGGCCGAAAAAATCCCTGGTTTTCCTCCTCAAAGAGAGAGACATTGCTTGGGCCAGGGCTCGGAAAACAAAGACAGAGGTAGACTGGCTCAGCTTTCGCCAGCTTAGAAATAAATGTACTTCCCTTATTAAGAGTGCTAAGTCTGACTTCTACTTAAATGAATCCATAAAAATTATAAATGACCCTAAAAAAAATTGGCAAGTCATAAAATCTTCAAATCATGTGACAACTAATGACTTACCAAGTTCTTTAATTACTCAAACTGGTACACTGTCTGATAAGACAGACATACTAAATTGTTTTAATGATCATTTTATTTCTGCTGGATCCTTGTTTGAGTCACTAAACCCTGAACTGACAACCGCTGGTCTGGCTAGTTTTAACACACCCTTGACTCCGCAGGCTGTGAGTGGACCCATCACTTGCCCGTTTGAGTTTATGTCTGTATCTGTCACTGAGGTAAACAATGCACTAAAGAAGCTGGACACAAGTAAAGCAGCAGGGCCTGATAAAATTGAGCCATTTTTCTTGAAGTTGGCTGCTGATTTTATTGCTGAGCCTCTCTCACATATTTTTAACCTGAGTCTTACCAGCAACAAAATTCCTAAAATCTGGAAGTCTGCCTTTGGAACCCACACATGTAAATAACTATAGACCAATTTCTAAATTGTGTATTTTAGCTAAATTGTTTGAGAGGATCATCAGTGACCAACTAAAGGAATTTTTAGAATCAAATAATATTTTATCCCCTCTCCAATCTGGCTTTAGAAAACAGCAAAGCACTGTTACAGCTGGGCTGAAGGTCCTAAACGGTTTAATTGAAGCTCTGAACAGCAAAATATATTGTGCCGCTCTTTTTATTGATCTGTCAAAAGCATTTGACACAGTAGACCACAACCTGCTGATACAAGCCTTACATCACACTGGCTTGTCTAAACATGCAGCTGCCTGGTTTGCCAATTATCTATCCAACAGAACACAATGTGTTCAGGTGGCTGGAACTACCTCTTCCTTCCTGGACATTACTAAAGGGGTGCCCCAAAGTTCAGTGCTGGGACCCATTTTATTTTCAATCTATATAAACAATCTCTGTAATAACTTGTCAAATGCAATGTTTCATTTTTATGCAGACGACACCATTATTTATTGCTGTTCAACCTCACTCATCCAGGCTTTTGAGTTTTTACAAGCTGCTTTTAATGTTATCCAGTCTCGTTTATATGATCTTAAGTTGGTTTTAAACACAGATAAAACCAAGCTCATGGTTTTCCCTCATACAAAGGTGCTACCCCAGAACATTACAAATATTCTAACATCTAAAGGAAAACCTATAGAGCAAGTTTTAAACTACAAGTACTTGGGTTTTATCCTAGATCAGGAGCTTTCATTTAAAGCTCATATCAATAATCTGGTAACTAAACTTCGTATGAAGCTTGGGTTCTTTTTAAGAAATAGAACCTGCTTCTCTCTCAGGGTCAGAAAGAAATTAGTAACAGCGACCTTCTTGCCCATTCTTGATTATGGGGACGTGCTTTATTTGAGTGCGTAATCCAAATGTCTCAAGTCCTTGGACACTATTTTTCATTGGGCACTGAGATTTGTCACTGGCTGTAGTCGTCTCACCCACCATTGTGAGTTGTATTTGAAATCGAACTTGCCTTCCTTGAGTGCACGCAGATACGCACATTGGCTGACCCTAATTGATAAGGCTCTTTTAGGCTTGATTCCTTTATATTTGTGTGCTTTATTGCACAGAGAACAAGCAGTCGCTATGCCTTGCGTTCTTGTACCACACTTGTTCTATCTGTTCCTCGGGTAAGGACTGAATTAGGAAAAAGAGCTTTCAACTTTGCTGCCCCCTCGGCATGGAATACTCTACAGACTGAACTAAAACTCCCTGAACTTATTCCACTTGGAGCTTTCCGTTCTATCTTGAGGGACAAACAGCGTGAGACCATTGAACAGTGCCTGTGTTTTTAAAATCTTAAATTGTTGTTTTATTGTTGTGTCACAGCTCCCACACTTTCTTTTTATTGAAAACACTATGTTGTTAATCTGTACTGTCACTTAATTGTAACTGTTCTTTTGACATGTGCTGCTGACCTCTTGGCCAGGTCACCCTTGTGAAAGAGAACCTGATCTCAATAGGTTCTTATCTGGTTAAATAAAGGTTAATAAAAAAAATAAAAATAAAGGTTGTTTACATTTTCCTGGTATGCATCTAAGTTTTAATTGTACAGTTTGAATGGCCTATGTCTAATGCCTAGGCATTTCTTTAAATCTTTGTTCGGGTTAACATATACTTATTGGGGGGGCAGTGTAACAAATGTTTTTTGTCGTGTGTTTTTGTATGCCACTACTGGATGCTTTAAATTTCCCTCAGGATCAATAAAGTATCTATCCATCTATCTAATATCATGCTTTTTGTTCCAAGTGCATCATGAGCCTTAAATATAAACATCATTTTCACACAAAGGTGCTGCACATTGGGCAAGGGAAGTCACGTACTTGTCATTAGAGATGCTGCAGTCGATGACCGTTTTCTTGCTGGTGTTGACGATGATGAACGGAAGGTGGATGATGGAGTTGGGAGGTGGAGGTCTGATTGCTTGCTGCTCCGTCTGTCTGTTCCTCTGAACAAGGTTCTTAAAAGCTATTTGCTGCAAAGACAAGATCAAAGAGGGCTGAAACCTTTGCAGCTGCAGAGAGCTTTCGGTTTGGATTAAGAGAACAACAATTCAAAAGAATCATTCTTCGGTAGCTCTGAACATGTCAGTTGTTAGAGCAGATGTGCTCTAAATGTCTCCCACTAAACATTTCAACATATCGTCTACCCCACTACAAAGCACTGAACGCACTTGACATTTATTACATCTCCAAATTCATCATAGATTTACACTCACTGTCCAGTTCACTGATTAAATCTGTTAACTGAATAGCAGCTCTGCCATAAACTTCCTTTACTAAGTTGATAATTATCAGGTTTAGTTTACATTATCAGTGATGTATTCAAATAACCACAAGTGAAAGTGATGTCTCGATGCACTTTACTTCTTTAATATTTGTCCTCCCATTTTGCATAAATGATAGGGTCAGGGATCCAGAGGAGCAAACTGATAAGAGACCATCACAATATAACGTTACTGGGTTATAAACACGTTACTGGGTTATAAACATGTACACATGTACTTTGTCCAGAGACAGGTTTTTTTTTCTTCTTTTGCGCTGTCAGCACCCACAACTTCCATTTCTTAGCGCTTCTCACCAGCTCTCATTGTTGCTGGGTAACCAATGTTAAGTTCCACTTCCCTCGGTAATGTCCGTTAGGTGTGCTGAAAACGCTGAACTACATCGGTTTTGTTTTTGAAAACGGGCGCTGCCAGCACATTAAAGACACTCTGTGGACACAAGTCCCTAATTACAAATCAATACCGCTGAAAATAATGTAGCTAAGAGAAAGTATTTTCATTTTTAAATGATAAAATAGTCAATTTATTTGACTTCAGTAATTTTATTGCAGCTATATTTGATTGTGAAGCAAACCAACAACACTTTGTCAAGTTCATGCAGCCTTAATGGCAGGTGTTCAAACATAAATTTGTTTAAATCGATATAGGATAAGATAAGAGAATCCTTTATTCATCTCACAATGGAGAAATTTACATATATAGTGCAACACAACTCAATATTTTAACAAAATTAAACTCATGCAAAAAGTTAGACAGCATCTTCAACAGCTGGGGTGTTTTAAAATTAATATCTTTTAAATTTGAAATACCTCAACAGAAGTCCTTCTTTGTTTTAACTAACTTTATAACCATCCAACTGAACTTAAATTCAACTCACTGAATTTATCACAAATAATTCTCCCTAAAGAGGAGATTGGAAAGCGCTATACTCCCATGATCATTTACATAATTAAAGATCAATATTTGGCATCCTTGTAGCCATATAGTATTGCTGCATAGAATATTTGCATATATTTTTCCTCCAATCCCTAATACAGGAGAGGGGAGGAATGCTGGACGCATCTCTCAAAGGTTCAACAGCAGTGAAAACTACAGCCTTATAACTAAACATGTGATTTAATTAGAGCCTCTCTCCAGATAAAAACACAAGTATAAGGAATCTGTTCACCCACCTGTAGTATGAGCTCCTGAAGCTGTGATTGTTTTTGCTTAATCCTCTCCAGCCGTCTTTGTCTCTCCACCTACAAGTAAAAAAGGACAGGAATGATGACATAGAATTCTAACAAAAGAAAATGACAATGTGAAAAATACAAAAGATTTAGTAATAAATCTAAGTTTATTTACCTCTAGGTTTTGGCACTCCTGCGCTGAGTTTGTGGGAAGGCCTATCCACTTTATTTCTTTCTTCTCTTTCGAGATAATGTTCATGGCCATGAGCACATTGAGTGCATCGTACACACGCCGCCGAATGTTCTTCTGGTCATACACATGCTAAAATAGAGGACAAAACATGAATATGTTCAGGAAAATGTATACAGCACGATATTCCCTTTTTCCTATTTTCCATTTTTCTGTAAGGTCCTACATAAGCTCTCATCTCTGAGAAAATGTTGTGCAGTTGTGGCACTCACCGAGTCATTGGGTGACATGTGGTTGTCTGCAGAGCTGAATTCTGCAACCAGCTCATCTGCCACTTCATTGTAGGTGGTTACTCCCTTCTTCTGCACCTTCTCACACACTTTCATGGAGAAATGCCTTAAGCCCTTTCCATTCTTCTCTCCTTTTTTACCTCGTTTCCTGTGAACAGACACCCTCAATATCACTCACTATGACTGATGTGTCAAACATTAAGAATCATCTTCTTTGAATGAATGTGTTTAAGACTCACCCTGATGACCAGGGAGAGGCGTCAGAAGGTTGACTCTGAGCAAGGAACTGAGAACTGGGAGTATGGGGACTGTTTACCAAAATGGCATTGGGTATCGTAGGCCTCTGTGGTGTTCCGATCACCTTCGAAGGAAAGAGCAAAAGAAAGGAATGAAAACATTGAAGAGTTATAGTGAGTGTTTTTTAAATCTGCAGTCAATGAACTTCAAAACAGAGTTTGCTGGTTAGGATCTTTCCTGCTGTTCACATTTTATTGTAGTCACCTGACCAGAAAGCAAACATCATAACGAAACCAAAACTAGTAGATTAAAGTTGCGTTTATACGTTTTGTTGTTTATTATGAAGTGTATGAAATGGTGGACAATGCGTTTCACCAGTTTTAGGAAAAAATTAGTTTTTTTCTCCACATAAGCTGTGGACCACTTACTGCAGTCTGCCCGTCTTCAATTCAGACAACCATTCAAGTCCTCTTACTGAGAAAGGAAGGCTAGGATCTTTCCTGCTGTTCACTGAGCATGTGAAAGATCCCTCCTATGGAACTTTTTATCCTGTTTTAGCATGAAATTAGATTTTCAACTTCTTGTTATTTTAATATATTAATTAATATTAATTATATTCCTGTTTCTTGAGCTGTTGTAACGGGAAAAAAATCCCCCATAGGGATCAATAAAGTTTATCTTTATCTTTAACACAATCCGTCATTGTTTGCTCCGTGTTGAAAAACAGTGTTTAGTTAAATTGTAATTTATATGGCAAACTCAAAAAAATGAGTCCTTGAAGCACCATATTACCACTTTTTTAACCTCAGACAAATCTTGCACATAATGACTGACTTTTTGTCCTGTACAGTCCCCATTATGTTAACAAAGGGCAATTTTGGGGATTAGGACACAGTGGAGCTCTGCTGCAGGAGGAGAGCTTAATTTCTCAAAATAAAAATGCAATTAAAAGTCTTTGGCGTGTTTACACACATTTCTGTTGCAGGCTGCAGACTGACTGGTTGATACATAACAGGAACCCTACATTTTAATATGGACAGTATAAACTCAGATCTTTAACTGCTACAAGGCTGCATGACAGATACAGTTTAATGACTGATTGTTTCTAATTCAAAAAGCTCCTTGTAACACATTATTCAGGTTATTAATACCACATTAATTTGGAAAAAGATACCAGTAAGTGTTTTTGACATTTTTTAAATTAATATTTATTTTTAAACAAAATAAAATGTTGTCCCTAATAATAAAAATAATACTAGTAATTATTGTAGAAGATATGTGATATATTCCTCCTCTAAGGTGATATCTAAGCTGATTTGCGTTATGTATACATTTCTATGTATATAATGGGATGATGGGTGTAATCCTGCTGACTGTAGAGTCGATAAGCTTAGGCTCAACGGCCTCCACCCGGTCACCTCACAATGATAAAGGAGGGGCTTACACAACAGTAAGACAGCTGCAAAAACTTGCAAGCAGATATACAAATAAATACATCTTTCAGTCGGTCACAATTTAGAAAGCGGGAACTTTTAATTTCTAGGTTGTGAGTTAAGGAGCGCATAAAGGCTTGATATTTTAAGCCCAAAAAGGATGATAGTTGTGAGGAGCACCACTCACCATGTGTGGCACATGTTGCATGTGTGCAGCAATATTCACATTGGATGGCCCAAGAGTTTTGGGTAGTAACTGTTTGGCCACGGGAGCTGCTGTAGGCTGGACAGTAACCAAAGATAGGACACCTGACAGGAGACATGAGAACATCAGTAATAAGTCCAGCTCTTCATTGATACTCTGTTGCCCCCTATTGTCCAACTACACACACAATGACCTATACATGAAGAACATTGTTTCCATTAAGATGAATGTGGCACCAAAACAATTGTAGATACTTGTACCTTTGCTGGGGCTCAGATTCTGATCGATGAAAACCTTCAGCTCTCCATTTGTTTCTATCAGACCAGCCTACAAAGGATTAAAAAAAATACATTTTATACCTCAAAAATCACAACACTTAAGTCAAAATCGAAATAATATTAAAAATTTGATTCGTTTTTTAAAATATTGTTTTTAAATTACTCACATCTTTAGCCATGATCCCAAAGGACCGGAGGAGTTGAGCTTCAGGCTAAAAGGAAAATGATCTTTTTTTTGTCACTTTTCCGACCCTGGACAACAGAAAGAGAAGTGCTAAGTTTATAATTACATTCAAACCTCACAATTAAGCCCAAAGTACACCCCATTCTATAAAACCATTTTTGCAGAGGCCCATCTGAAATGTCAGCTGCAAGCACATTGCACAAAGCTACATCTCGGTTGTTCTTCTTGAAGAAAATTAGATTATTTTACTTCCATGAGCCTCTGAGGGCGATTTATAAATGCACAGTGCATGAAGACCAGTGTATAAAACCTCCCCCTTGATGCTCACAACTTTTCCTAGAACAAGTGTGCAAAGGCCTACTTCAGGTACCGAGCACGTCCGGAGGAAAGGCATCGTCGAACTTCTGCTACAGGTCACGCAAACATGCTAACTTTTAACCACACAAGCGCAAAACTCTTAATGTGAGCAGGGTGGAAGCACCGCATGGTAACACACACACTCCGGTTGCAGGCGGTAGCAACAGCATTAATTTCCCACGACGATACCAGTTCATCTTTTGTTGAATGCAGCTAGCTCTCAGTCCCTGCTAACAGTTAGCTCTGCACTGAGCTTGCTTTGCGTTAGCTAGCAAGTTAGCGTCTGCACGTTTTCAAAAAAAAATGTTTCACATTCAAATTGAGCGATTATTTGGTTCCGTGCTGGAGATCCCTGACACAGTTCAGCATGGTCGGACGTAAAAAAAGAAGTGCATTTGCATTTCGCATGGGTGAATTAAGTTGAAATAGTGATTCTGGTGCACTTACGAGTGCACTCTCCTGTTTCTTCGACGGCTGTTGTTGTTGGCATTTGAGAATGGAGGAAGAGGAGGTCTAAATCCCTACCAAACAGGAAACATACTGAGCACTGTTGAGCTACTTTTTTATACATTTTAAGTTAGTTTCCAAACACAAATTATAATGCAAGTGTTAAATGTGTAACTCATGTTTGTGTTTTGTACTTTTGTTTCTATGTTTTAGGTGTTACACTGTCCTCTAAATGTTTGTTTGTATTGTGTTTTTTTATCTCTCTGTGCATGCAAGGCAAATTCCACCCTATGGGCAATAAAGGTTTCATTCATTCATTATACTGTGAGCAGTGCATGCTGTTTGAAACTGCAAACAAATAGGTCGTTTTTTTAATTAAAAACCACTCAGAGTAAACAACTTTAACTGTGAAATAAAAGCGAGGTTTACTTTATTCAGATTGTAAATAAAATATTTCTCCAACTCTTTGACTCACTTGGTAATGAGATTGTTGTTGTTGTTGTTGTTGTTGAATTGTTTATTGACAGTTATTGATCTTTACTTGTCAGATGTCTATCCATCAGAACAATGAAACCATCATCACAAAGTTTTTATAAAGACAACATAATTATTATTTTTTTTTTTAAATATCATGTTTAAATTTGCTAACATTGTGTTTTTTTTGCTCATATTGTGTGTTTGGACAACCTGCTGCTGTAACGCCACAATTTCCCAGTTTGGGATCAATAAAGTAATTCTATTATATTATATTTTATTATTAATCTCTGTACTGTATGGAAATCTAATTGCAGACTTTGTGAGATGTTTAATCCTTAAAGCACATTTTTGGTTTTGCATTCATGCAAAATATACTTCAAAGTTTTGATTTTATCATGCATTAATGTCTACTTTAAAATGTATATTTTCTTCTGATCTGACGTATAATGTGTCATTAACTGTTTAATTCATTATAGAACATCCTTTTGAAAAAAAAGCATTATAAGTCTATATTATATTATATTTAACTACACATCTTATCTGTCTGATTATAATAAATTAGAACAAATGTTGAATGCATGGTGAATAATTTTATCTAATTAAAGTGATTTATTCAAACTGTCATGCAAACACATTTTGAATTGTTGTTGTTTTTTTTACATTTTGCAGAAAAACTCCTGAAAACATTTAATATTTCAGTGCAGAGAAACTGAGCAGGTCCAGATAGAATCAGCAGATAAAGTGCCAACGACTGGTTTGATAGTTACACTCGGTAGGTTGACACATACTGAACAGATTATTACAAAGTTGAAGAAGTGAAACACGAACAACTAGTTAGCACATCGCTAGTTAGCATCGTCTTTAGCGAGTACGCTTTGTTAGCCGTCGTTAGCGGTGGAGCTAACCCACAGCTGTCATACACAACACCCGATAATCAGATAAAATGTGACTATTCGATAGCTTTCTGTCTATTTCTGTGTTATTTAAACACATTAAAAACACAATAACGTGTGATAAATGTATGTAACATCCAGAACTTTCTTTGTTGACAGCTGGGTTTAGTGGATAAATGTTGCTTACCGGTGCGCCTCACAAAGTTAGCAAACTGTTTGTTAGCTCTTTCTATCCACTCTCCGCTAGCAGTGCTAACAGCAGCGCGTCTCACAATCTGATCTTGGCGGTGTCTCGCTTTGGCGGGATCTGATTGGACGGCATCGGTGAGACGAAAGCAAAGCAAGGGGGCAAAGTTAGTTCATGCCCACAATCTGGAGCTTCCGGGATAAAGTCGATTACAAACCAACCAGCTGCAAAGATTGCAGACATCGCCCCTGCTGTTCGGGAGGCAATTTACTCCCATCACTTATCACGAACTCAATCAATTACTCTTAGAAGTTGCCTGAAAAGATGATATGTATATAATATGGTTACCATTTTTACCCTTCTTAAATGTTTAAATCTTAGTAGAGGTAGTGAACCACACTGAACCTGGACATGCGTTGACCGTCCCACCCTCACCACACATACTGTGCAATATTTATTTTATATTTCTGCAATATTTTACATTTTATATGTGCAATATTTATTTTATATTTCTGCAATATTTTACATTTCACACTGTGCAATATTTATTTCATATTTCTGCAATATTTTACATTTCAAACTGTGCAATATTTATTTTATATTTCTGCAATATTTTACATTTCATACTGTGCAATATTTATTTTATTTTATATTTCTGCAATATTTTACATTTCATACTGTGCAATATTTATTTTATTTTATATTTCTGCAATATTTTACATTTTATATGTGCAATATTTATTTTATATTTCTGCAATATTTTACATTTTATATGTGCAATATGTATTTTATATTTCTGCAATATTTTACATTTCATACTGTGCAATATTTATTTCATATTTCTGCAATATTTTACATTTCATACTGTGCTATATTTATTTTATTTTATATTTCTGCAAAATTTTACATTTCATACCGTGCAATATTCATTTTATATGTCTGTAATATTTTACATTTCATACTGTGCAATATTTATTTTATATTTCTGCGATATCTATTTATATTCTGTTATGCTACTACCTGTAAATAACTCCTACCATACATTGCCCATCTTACCTGAATGAGAGTTCCTTTTTTAAATTTCTTCTTTGTTGTTTTTAGCTGTGGATGCTTGTATGTGTGTGCACTTTAAGGTGAAGCCAAATCATTTTGTTGTACAATTGTATAATGACAATAAAGACATTCTATTCTAGGTGATATTTAGAATAGAATAGATGTTTATTGCCATTTGCACAGGTACAGGACAGTACAGGTACATTGGAATTCTTGTGCGTTTCTCCTTGAGTCAGCTTCTACAAAAAAGTTAAAATTATATATAAAATAGAATAGCTAAAAATAAATAAGTTGTAGTAACAGCTAAGTGATTTAAAATAAACTGTACAGAAGCTATCCACTGTATTAAAGCAAAGATATAATACAAAACAAATAACAAAGGGAACACTGTACAATGAAATGAAAATATAAATATGTTTTTTCTCTTTTTCTCATCTCTTTTTGCACCTGAGGTTGTTGTACACATATTTTTCACATTTTATAATTGCACTGTGAGGTGGTCAACTGTTCATTTAGTCTGTGAGGTGTGGTGTGAAGTACTTCCTTCCCATCTTAATGTCTTGTGCTACAAGTCTCACAGGCCCAAATGATTTGAAGTATGATTTAAAATCCAGTCTCCAGCTCCAGCTTTAATCATTTTCAGTCCATCTGCTTCTTTGCAGTAGAAATAAATTGCACTTAGACAATCTTTTTATAGTCAGAGTCTAACAACATAATTAGCCTCTTCCCATCATTTTATTGTAGCCACCTGACCAGAGAGCGAACATCACAATGAAACCAAAACTAGTAGATCAAATTTGTGTAGGCTATATATGTTTTGTTGTTTATAGAATAGAATTACTTTATTGATCCCAAACTGGGAAATTGTGGCGTTACAGCAGCAGGTTGTCCAAACACACAATATGAGCAAATTTAAACACAATATAATATTAAATACAAAGTAAATAAATAATAAAGATATCAAAACTAAGAATGGGAATATATACAACCAGGATTTAACTGCATTAATAGTCTTAAATATGAAAGATTAAATGTAAATTTGCAAAAACAGAGTTGTAAATGGACAGTATTGACATAGGGAGCTGTGCAATCAGTGATGCTATAAGTTAAAGTGCAGGAGTGTAGACATATTATCAGCAGACTCCATTATGAAAATGTTGTTTTTTCTCTACATAGCTGTGGATCACTTACTGCAGTCTGCCCGTCTTCAATTCAAGCAACCATTCAAGTCCTCTTACTGAGAAAGGAAGGCTGACAGACACAGATACTCTATCAGCAGCACTGCTGTGTTTTTTTCACTCTTGTTCAAGGGTGTAGTCATTTTCTTTTCTCATGGGATAAAGCTCAGCTGAGCCTGAGCCAGCCCAAAGACTGTCTTTGGAGAAAAACAGCTCTTATTGGCTTTTTGATGTTATATGAAGACTCCCATTCTCATTTTGAATTTATATCTCAACACACAAAAATATATAGAACAAAAAACTGATTAAACTACGGTAGGTTTTGAGCAAGAATTAAAACCTTCCTGCATGTAATTGTCTGCTGCAGCCTTTTGAACGCTTTTTTCACACATCAAAGTACTAGATCACACTTGAACACACTTTTCCTTTCTGGTCGAATTGACCTGTCAGGGGGCAAGAAATGCACAGCCACGATTAACCCCTGACCCACATACTCTTTGTAAAGTGTGCATGTGATCAATGCCTGAATACTATCAATTCTCAGATTTGCTGTGTGGTCGTTAGATAAAACAAACTAATCAAGATTATGCATCACATAAGTTAAAAACTGTCAAAATTAAGGCCTTAACACTATGTTACACAAAGATAAGGTACTCGAGCAGGATCAATGTTAAGGCCTTAATAATGTGTGATCATTCAGGGGTAAAGTGCAAATTAAATGGGCAAAAACGAGTTGATAAACAAAAACTTTGCGTGTGTGTGTGTGTTTGAGTGTGTTGGTTACAGCAAGATTGCCCAAAAGAAGTGAAAACGTTTAAAAGTAAGTCTTTTTGGTTGTATAGTTGACAGTGTGTTTGCAATTTTTAAGTATACATGGTATACAAACTATTGTAAACAAACTACAAACAATCTTTCTTTGCTCCCCTTACACACAAACACACAAGACGACTGAATTCATGCAAAACATTACAAATAGCTTCAATAAAAACTGTCTTATTTCCTGCAAACCTCATATTTACATTGAAACCTCCAGTGACTGCTTCTGTTACTTCCGCGCATGCGCACCATGAGCCACAGTCGGGCTACCAAACTGGTCAAACGGCGGGTGTGAAAATGGTAGGTAACCAAAATAAACACAATCCACCGGCATTGTCTTTGGTGCCATTAAAGCTTACCTTCACGTCTATTGTGGCATTATTAAAGTACATGTTGTGTCGCGGTTTGGGGGGGAAGCCCACGCTGGGTAGTTTGTTGTGTTTCGCTGCTCTTCCAGGGAAGGTCAGTTGATATTTTGAGAGCAGCTAGCTTAGCTTCACGTCCCTTTTTGGGTAGTCTCTAACTTCGGCTGTGTGCAGGTCAGCAGCTCGATGTCAAAGACACACACACACAGGGGTCGTTTAGGTTAAACCCGAGCACAGCCATCCCCACACTGGCTGCGTGTTTCAGTCAGTCGTTAGTGTCAGTCATACATTCCGGCTAACTTGGCTAATGTTAGCTGATATAAGTTACTAGCTGGTAGTGTGTTGACAATGCTAAGCTGACGTTACCCGGGCAGAGCAGCGAGGCTTGACCTTTGACTTCCACTGGACGCTGTTGACTCAAACCAGTAAAGGTTGGTTCAGTCATTGTGAACTCACAGAGGTTTTTAGTCTCCAGTTTCAGGAAATACTTGTCTTCAGTCTGAAGTGTGTGTGATGATCAGCTGTTGTTGTTGTTGTTGTGAGGAGGCAGTGCTTGTTTTTGTTTTTTTTATACAGCAACAGGATAAGAAATAAAACTTACTCATCGTGCCAATTAATCGACTTTTTACTAACCTTTAATTATCAACTTAATTATCTTACTGTGGAAAATAATAAAGGGCTTGTTGTTTTGGTTGGACTCTGAAGCTATCTATTTAAAAGTACACTCAGTTTACTGCACATTGCACAAGTTTACTTTAAAAAAAATATATTCCATTTTATTCACCATTTTGTACCTTTTGCACAATTTAGAATTTATTACTGTAAATATAATTTATCTTATTTTACCTTATTTTGGTCGTATTGCACCGCGGGACGGAGACAAACGCAATTTCGATTCCACTGTGTGTCTGACATATTTTGAAATTGACAATTAAGTTGACTTCGACTTTGACTGATAATGTCTTGGATGTAGCTTCAGGTTTTAGAATGAACTTCCAAACTCCATGTGATCTGCAGAATCCCTCTGCACCTTTAAGAAAAAGCTAAAGACCCAGCTCTTTCATGAATACCTACTAACTTAATGATGATGGTCTCCATATTATTGATGATGATGATGGTAATGATGATGGTTTTTGTTTGATAACGACGACTTATAAGATGGTTTCTATACTGATTAGAGCTCTCAAGAACTGCCCTCAATGTTGTGCTTTGCCTCTGGTCACTTCCTGTCAGCACCTGTGTGTCCAATCAGACTCAAAGCTGATCGTTTGCTCTTACTGACATTGCTCCCTTTTTTCTAGATCCTTGCTTGTGTTGTTCTTACTCTCTGATGTACGTCGCTTTGGATAAAAGATCTGCTCAGTGAATTGTAGAATTGTAGAATTGTAGAAGGATTTTAAAGCTAACTGTTGTTTGTTACTTGTCAGTATCATGAAGTCTGGTTTCTGTGTTCTAAATTTTTCAAGCCAGTGAACTGTGTGCAAAATGCCCCTTTATACTGTAATTTCTTACTGAAATAAGAAAACTTATTACCTCAGTACAAAAGCTAAAATTCTTGCCTTTTAATTTCTTATTATATTGACAAGTATTTCTAGCCAATGGGGGCTTGTGTAGCCCTCCAGACTTGTTGCACCTCTAGGTCCTGGTGATGGAATCCCCTTTCCCTGCTCATGTTACATCTATGACTCGTTACCTGTTTTGTTTTCTTATACTGCAGCAGGATTCTATTGCCTTGGAAAGAAATAAACTTACTTATCGTGCCAATTAATCGACTTTTTTAACTAACTTAATTATTAACTTAATTATCTTACTATGGAGAATATAAAGGGCATGTTGTTTTGGCAGATCCGATATTGTCTTGGGTGTAGTTTCAGGTTTTAGAAGGATTTTAAAGCTAACTGTTGTTTGTTACTTGTCAGTATCATGAAGTCTGGTTTCTGTGTTCTCAATTTTTCAAGCCAGTGAACTGTGCGCCAAATTTATACTGTAATTTGTTACTGAAATAAGAAAACTTATTACCTCAGTACCAAAGTTATACTTCTTGCCATTTAATTTCTTATTATATTGACAAGTATTTCTAGCCAAGGGGGGCTTGTGTAACCCTCCAGACTTGTTGCACCTCTAGGTCCTGGTGATGGCATCCCCTTTCCCTGCTCATGTTACATCTATGACTAGTTATCTGAGGGGCCCACTTGGGTACAGCATTTGCTCCGAGAATCCATAACATCCCCCCTTCAGAAAAGACTAATGTCGCTTTGGACAGGACATAATTATCACCGCCGCGACGTCTTGGCTCACCCCTTTTTTAAAGAGCGTTTGTCAGCGTGACAGACTAACCCTTTGAAATGTGTGTTTGGGAGTCTTTCCTGTCCTCTTTTTTTGTTGTTGCCTGAATGCCTGTAGATGCGTGTGTGTCACTGTGTGTTTTTGTTTGTGTCTCGCTCTGTGTTTGTGTGTTGTTGTCCGTGTTCCCTGGTCTGATCGCGCCCGTGTCTGACAGCCCCTGTCCTGTTATTACACAGCATAAGCTGAAGTCTTCGCAGAGGGACAAGGTACGGCAGTTCATGTCCTTCACACAGGCTGGGGAGAAGACAGCTGTGTACTGCCTGACGCAGAATGACTGGAAACTAGAAGTTGCTACTGACAACTACTTTCAGAATCCCGATCTCTACTGTAAGGAATCCATGAAAACATCAGTAGACCGGAAACGCTTGGAACAGCTCTACAATCGCTACAAAGGTAAGTACTTTTATTTACTATGTATTAACTTTGATAGAGTTGTTACAAAATAAGAGCAGCCTTTCTTCAAAATAAGATTCTACTTGTTTGCTAAAGGTGTTAGAATAAACTGTTTTGTTTTGTTGTTCCCTTAAAAGATCCTCAGGATGAGAATAAAATCGGTATCGACGGGATCCAGCAGTTTTGTGACGACCTCTTGCTGGATCCGGCCAGCATCACGGTGCTGGTCGTAGCGTGGAAGTTTCGCGCTGCCACTCAGTGCGAGTTCTCCAAGAAGGAGTTTCTCGACGGAATGACGGAGCTAGGGTGAGTGTTGACATCGACCGGGTGTGACATGTTCCAAAAGTGGGACACAAACAGTGAGCCCGAGGTAACTTTGCATGGCGGTTCTCTTAGTGTAGCTCCGGAGAGGGGAAGGCTTTTCTATATTTAGACTCAGTAAACCACAGCTTGAGTATTCAGTGTCTTTGGGGAATGGCTGGAGGAGCTGCACTGTTTTGACTTTTGAGTTTAACACATTGAAGTTAATCTGATCTGATTTGTCGTCAGCCTTCAGACTGTTGTGTTTACAGCTGGTTTCGGGTGTGAGTGTGTATTGAATTACTGTTTTTTAATTTCTTCATTTGTCTTATTTATTTTAGGTGTGACAGTCCAGAAAAACTTAAGGCCCTCTTGCCAAGATTAGAGCAGGAACTCAAAGATAGTGGGAAGTTCAAGGACTTCTACCAGTTCACCTTTAACTTTGCTAAAAATCCTGGACAGAAGGGTCTAGGTAAGAAGACCGATAATTACAACTACTTAGTGACTGCTATCGCTGATTATTGTAACAAACTGTTGGAATGAAGTGCTCTGATTTGTCTTTGTGTTCAGACCTGGAGATGGCTGTAGCCTACTGGAACCTTGTTCTCTCAGGACGGTTTAAGTTCCTCGACCTTTGGAATAGATTTCTTTTGGTGAGTTATTTTTTTTTAAACTTTGTTTTTATTTTTTTTCAAAGAGTTGCTTCATTCAATGGTTTAACATTTCATTTCAACAAACATGTTTTCAACATAAGATATAGAAAAGAAGCAGCAACATCTTTAGAAATTGATAACACATACACACACATCAAAACAATGAAATAACAGAGAGAGAAAATAAAAATAAATCTGAGTGGTGATTTTGGTGAGTTAAAGAATTCCATTTTATAGGTACTGGGTAGCTCAACAGAGTCCTCGCTGCAGCCGCCCCAGGTTGAACTCCAACCCTTCATGCTTTGCTGCTCGTGTTCCACACTCTCTCTTCAATATATTTTCTTAAAAGCAAAAAATAAAACTGATGGATGCAGTTGTAAAATATGCCATATAAATAGTAAATAAGGTTTTGACTGTGACTTGTCCACCTAAATGACAAATTATTTTGTATGCCAGTTGTAGCATTCAATGTTTCTGCTAAACGTTTTACTATTGCAGTGACCTTTAGAGTTTTGTTTTCTGACTATGGGAAATTGGTCCATGCATTTGTCAGACAAAGGAGGAAGTTATACGTACATCACTAAGATGCAGGGCAAAATCAGCACACTTAAGAAGAAGATAGGCCCGCGCACTTGCTCAAATGCCACAAAAAGTTTGAATTGATCACCTGAAGAAGACCTCTGATCTTAACGTTGTGATCAGTCAGCATTTATCTCCATCAGATTCTATAAATGTAATGCCATCTGTGCTGGACTTCCTGAAAAAAATCATGAAACAAACTCTAGCTCACCCAAAACGCTGCAGCTAGAGTGCTAACAGGGGCAAATAGAAGATATTACACTTATTCTGAAAAATCTTCACTGGCGTTCCAGTCCAGTACAGAGTTGAATTCAAACATTACCTCTGGTCTATAAAGCTCTAAACGGTATGACACCTCAGTAGATTTCTGACCTGCTCACTGAATACAGATCAATCAGATTGGGTCAGGTGAAGGTGCATTGAGTCTCTATGTGAAACAAACAGCCTGCTGACCTGAGGTGGTTAGTGTGTCTTTGTGTGTGTGCTCTGTGCACATATGTATGGTTGGTGTACTACTACTACTATAATACTACTACTACTACTACTACTACTACTACTACTAATAATAATAATAATAATAATGGTGTATGGTCCTGTTTGTGCTCTAGTACAGGTGTTCTCCACAGGTGAGCCCTCAGTACCCTCCAACAACTCCTTCATGAAAAATCACCCAAATGTCTGATATATTTTCAACCAATCAGATTAATTTAATGAAAAACTGTGCAACAAAGAAACAGAAGACAACACACAGGTTAAAAAAAAAAGCGCTTCCTGGAAGTTTTGACAGAATGTCTTTTCCAGGCACACATTTACCTCCCACTGAAAAAGGAAAACTTTTGGGTCCCGCCCCACCAGCTGAGAACCACTGCTCTAGTAGGAATAGGTGTATGTGTTAGATGGGAGGGTACAGGGTCCTTTTATAAATGTGTTTAGGATCTAATATCTGCTTCTAAACCTATTTGTTCATTTTTTTAATGATAGGTTTGGTTTATGTTTGTTTATTTTTATCTTCTTTAAAGCACTATCAGTTTACATGTACATGCAACGTCTGTACAAAAAAATGGAATTGAATTCAGAGCTTGCTGACATTTGCAGTCGCCTGATTGCTCGGCCACCAGAAATGTTACTTGCAAAATTGACGAGAACCCCGATAAGCCACGCCTGAAGTGTTCTCGAGAAATGCTCATCTGATTGCTCTCATATTTGATTCTGCCTCCTCAGCAATAGTCATCAGGAGAACAGTTCTCAAGACAAATGAATCAAAAGATAACCGACTGTTTTACGATCATGATAATATCCGGCTTCGATTTACTGCGCACAAAAACAATCGAGAGTTCGGCACATTTAGGAATGATGTTTTTAAAATCTGGGGAATAGAAGAGTCGAGATGTTGGACTAGATATCGAGAAAGAAAAAGTTGGATTTGTGCATTCCTTTTTGAAATACATTTTGCAAGGTGATGTGGGAGGTTTACCAGCTGTCATTGAGCCTCAGTCAAAGAGTCACCCTGCTTCCTCCTGGACCTTCAGTACTCATACTGGCCTGCTGGTCCATCAGTGAAGCTTACTACAGGATGTTGTCACAACTGCCAACATGTCTACAATCTCTGGTTAAAACATTCACGTACCAAAATGTTCACCACACTTGTCCATTGCAGGAACACCATAAACGATCAATCCCAAAGGACACGTGGAACCTATTGTTGGACTTTGGAAACATGATTGCAGACGACATGTCAAACTATGACGAGGAAGGTGAGTTTGGAACGGTAAAAGTTTGTCTCAAGGAAGCATTCACATGAACTCAGGCACACTAATAATAATAATAATAATAATAAAGCGCTTTTCGCAGAAAAAGGTCACAAAGTGCTTTACATCAACAAAAAACAACAACAGCATACATAAAATGAAAGAAGAAAAAATGAGTACGTCATGGACGACATTATAAAACCCTGCTATAACCAGGAACAATAATTGGCACAATAAAACATGGATGAGTAGGTACACTGGGTGGACTGATTATAGGCCTGTCTAAACATTAATGTTTTTAATTGTTTTTTAAAAGACTCAACAGAGTCAGAAAGACTATTCCCTTTCCATCAAGAATCTGTAGTTTGTTTGGGGACTGGTAAAAGTGTTCTGCCCCTTGTTAATTTGTCTCTTAGCGCTGGTAAAAGTGTTTCACATATTGTCTTTTTGTTTTGTTAAAAAGTAAAAAAAATTAAATTTGTCACAAATTTTATGAAAGTGTTTCACATTTTGTAATTTTGTTTTTTTTTCACTTTCCAGCCACCGTAGTTCAGCATTTATTAGCCAATGTTAGAAATGAAGTGAAATGAAATGTTTTGGTTTGTAATAGAATTTTAAAACACATCTGCATTTTTTAATGGGGGAATTATTAAGACAATAACATGAAATACAGTATAAGACAAAAGATACATTTATGTGTATCATTTACTCTCTCTGTCTGACTGAATCCATGGGAATGCAGCTTCAAACAGTGAATATAGACTTTCTTCATGTAACAGCTGTAACACTAATGACATGTTGTTTCTTCCTCAGGGGCGTGGCCGGTCCTTATAGATGATTTTGTGGAATTTGCTCGACCGATTGTAACAGGATCCAAACGCAAAACTCTCTAAAATCCAAAGCCCGCCTTCTGGAAAGCCAGAACATTGTTTCTTTTACAGTGACTTCATAGTTTTTTTAAGACTTGTACAAAAAAAAAGTGAAAACCGTAGATCAAACAGAAGCACTTGAAACTTGTCAGGAAAACCACCTTTCAGGGAGCTGAGTAAAAAAAAAAAAAAACTGTGAGAAGAACTGGCCACATGTTTTTTTTTTTTGTTTTTTTTTTCGTCTTTGTGAGACCGGGGGCGTTTGTACGGACATTTGCCAGATTCACCTCTGTCCCTGCGGCGGGACTCTCGGTATCCTGGGACGCCTCTGCTCGGCTCCAGGACGAGCTCTACCTGTCGGGCCCGGTGAGCAGGGATGGACACAGCACTGGGAAAGAGGTTCAACGACTGTGTGTCCTCTGAAAAGGACAAGGAGAGGAGGAAACTGTGTGTTTTTAGGATTCTTCCTAGTCAGCTTTGTTTTGTTTATGAAGCTCTGAGTGACCGTGTCTAAACTCTCACTTTGGGACAGAGTGCTCTCTACACCAGCACCAACACAACTGTTGCGGTTTTTACTGAACATACTGTATCTATTGGGACTGTTTACAAAAGACGGCGATATGAAGAATAATATAAATATGTTCCATTTATAAAATTCAAAAGAGGATTCTTTTATGTACAGTAAATGCTACGATCTCTGACGGGGATGCCTCAATATTGTGGGTGATATGCTGTTGGTTTAATTATTAGGTGGATGTGTCGAGTCATGGAGTTGTGAGCTTCTCATTGAAAGCATGTTAAACACATTTTTGTGTCACCTCGGGCTAGTTCCACAAATACATTTTCACTCAAGTAAAAGGCAGCGCTTTCACTAAGATAACTGATATTTGTTACTGGAGTTCATATCTCCACTTGATCTCAGATAGGAGAGGGTCTTTAATCAACAGGTTAACATATTCAGCCCTGTCCAACACTACCAACGTTTTTGCTTTCAAAAGATGATTTCTTTCCCACGGTTAAGGAAAGAGTTTTACTATTTAAAATCCCTCTGAGAGATTAGTAATGCGTATAGTAATGCTTCAGCAGCATTTAATCAAAGAAATGACAGAGCCCTTTAGGATCGCTTGGCACATGTCTGTATGTCCGGGCGGTGAAGGACCCTTCGGTTCAGGACACTAAAGACGACGATGTAAGCCTTAAAGAATAAATATCTCTGTTCATCAATATTTATGTTTCTGTTCAAGCCCATCTGTCCAGTATTACTGACGGTAGTGAACATTTGAATATATTGTTGATACATCATGTAAGTAGCCTAAGTATATTGTTCATTTCAAGAAAGATGAATAAAGCATGAGTTTTTTCATAATCAGACATGTACAAGTTCTTTTGTTGAAAGTGGCCTGAAGATTTTCCTGTCAGATGGGGGGGGGGGGGCTGGTCTCAGAAGGAAAGTCTTCATTGCTTGATATAGAGATAAACACACAAACAAACAATTAGACCCCTCACCCCCACCCGTACCCCTCCCCTGGCACATATCCCCTTAAGAAAAAAATGAAACAGGGTTGACAATAATAAAAAGTAAGTGAAAAATCGCAGGATTTTTCAGGCTAGGTTCTCAGTCCAGATTAATTATGTGTTTTTTGGTGTGTTTGTTTTGCTTGTATGTTTTGCCTTCATTGGACAGTCCAGCTAAGGAGAGAGGGGGGATGACTCGCAGCAAAGGACCAAAGTCAGACCTGAACCCTGCTGCTGCAATGAAGACTAAAGCCCCTGAACATCGGGCACTCGACATAACCACAAGGCCATCTGACACTACAATGACAGTTTTCTGCCTTTATGCTGATGCTATGTGTAATTTCTTATTCACAGTATCAACGAGCGGTCAGAAATGAACTTCCTGCTGAGCAGAGAAGAGCATGAAGCTGCTTTATTATAAGCCTGATGAATCACCCATCACATGATATTCACATCATCAACCTGGCCCACTTGCTCGGATTGAATTTTCCTCGATCTTTCCTGCTGCTCTCACACATGACCTCACCTCACCTCCTCCACAAATCTTACAAGGGGACTAAGAGTAAAAAGTCAGGGTTAAAAACTCATGGGTTTGCGGTCACACATGAATTAACACAGATTTCAGAGATATGTGAGGAGTTTTGTACCTGTATGAAAAGACAGCATGTAGACTGTTAGTACTCACAATACACGGCAGCTCGTGATTAGAATCACTGGGATCTTTTTATCAGACAGCAAAATGATGTAGCAGTGTGTTGTTATGCTGTTATGGGGCAATGTGTTGTCATCACACTGTGTTGTTAAAGTGTGTGGTCACACTGTGTAATTATAGTGTTGTTACAACATGTGTAAACACTGTTGTTCAATTCAATTCAAATTCAAATAACTTTATCCGTTAGGAGCTTCATTTGTGTAACAGACCAACAGCAGAAACACACACAAGTGGCTCTATTAAAAGCATGATACATCGGTCATAAATAATTGTTATAAGCGGTTAAGAGTGGTGTTAAAAATAAATAAGAAATAGATCATTTGTTCATAAGCCTGAGTTCTCACACTGTTTGAATGTTTTTTTCACACTTGTTGTGTTTAGTTGTCATATTGTGTCACTTTATGTTGTCACTGTGTGTTTGGTACGAGGGATGTTACACTGATTTGTTACACTGTGTTGTCAGTTATCACTGAGTTTGAATGTGTTTTAACGGTGACAGTGAGTCTTTTTTGTTACAGTGTGTTCTAGGTTTGTTATCACACTGTTTATTCACATTTTGTTGTGATGATGTGATGTAACAGTGTGTTGTCAAACTTTGTTGTTCACGCTGTTTCAGAATCAGAATCAGATTTATTGTCCAGGTATGCTTACACACACACACACACACACAAGGAATTTAACTTCAGTGAACTGTGCTCTCTTATGTACAGGTACAACATTAAATATCAACAATAAACAAAATAAGAAAAGACTAATATTTACATGACTAAATATGAAACAGTGCAGTGGTGAATAGTGCAAAAAGATGCTGAAGTAACATGATAAGTAAAATGCAGTTATGTGACAGATGGCTCAATTAAGATGTCAATTACAGTATTTACATAAATAAGTGTGAATGTTATCATTTAAATTAAATAATATATATATATACATATCTGTATATTCACAGTGACGGTTGGTTTAGAGTCATTTCACCGCGACAGGTCTGACACTCTGTGACTGTTTCACTATACAGTCATTTTTCTCTAAACTGGAACATTGTGTTGTAACTGGGTGTTGTTTATTTGTGTTACTCACTGTGCTCTAACAGTGTATTATAGGCACACTGTTTGTTATTTTGGTGTCATACTGTGATGTCACATAATCTTATTTTTAGTCATGACACGTTGTCACACTCTGCTGTTATAGTGTTTCATTGAAATATCTTGTGACACTTTATGTTGATGTGTTGTCTGAGTGTGCTTCACTCTTTGTTGTGACAGTTTTTGTCACACTGTGGTGTTAGAGTGTTATTTGTCACAACGTGTTGTATTTGTGTTGTTACAGTGTCCTGCAGATACAGTGAATTGTTTCACACTGTTTTCACATTGTGGGGTTGTTGTTGTTGTTTGTTTGTTTCTGGGTTGTTGTTTTTTTTGCCTTTTTAATAGTTAGGACAGCTGAAGAGAGAAAGAAAATGTGAGTAGAAGAGAGTGGGGGATGACATGCAGAAAAGGGATGAGGTCAAATTGGACCCCATGGCCGTGGACGAGGACAATAGCCTCCATGAATGGGGCTTGTGACATAGTTGCTAGGCTATCCGGCGCCCCCACATTGTGTTTTAACAATGTGATGTAACAGTTTTGTTACATGTTTATCTGCATTAATATATTTTGTTGGGACACCGTGTTGATGTGCGGTGTTTTCACACTGTATTGTTAACTTTCTTTGTTTACACTGTGTTGTTATTTTGTGTTACAGTATTGTCACACTGGGTTGTCATGATGTTTTGTCACACTTTGTTGGGTTTTGTTAGAGTTCATTGTTACCATGTGTGGTTTTATTGTGTTGTCACATTGTGTTGTTACAGGGTTTTTACAAATTGTTGTCAATGCGTTGTTTCAGTTTCAGATTCAGAGTTTTTATTGTCCCACAAGGGGGAATTTGCGTTGCAACAGGAGCACAAAGAAGACAAGAAACACGAGGACAACATCACCATGAAACATAAACCAAAACGAATTTAAAAAATCAGACAACAGCAAAATATCAAACCAAATAAAAACAGTGCAATAAAATCAGTCAAGAGCCCAATACCAGAATGGAAATTCAAGTTATTAAAGTGCAAAGTGGAGGTGTGCAAATGTGCAATTCAAGTGCAAAAAGAGCAACAAATAGCTAATTGTTGTTTAACATATTAATTGCACTTGGTAAAAATGAGACCTGGAGTCTTTTAGTCTTCCTCACAGGAGCTCTAAAACGACGACCTGAGGGTCAAAGGTCAAACTCACTGTGAAGTGGGTGATCTGGGATCACAAGTAGTTACTCTGTGCTGTTACAGTGTCCTGTAAATTGTGTCTTGTCATGCTGTGTTGTCATTGTGTAAAAGTGTTGTTACAGTGTGATGTCACACTTTGTTTTTACACACTGACTGTGTGACATCACGCTTATCATCTGGAGTTTGTATGAACATGTTTCATGTTTCATGTTTCATGTTTCATGTTTCATGTCATGTTTTTTGCCACCTGATATTCACCTTCATTTCAGCTTCACCAGCTGTTCAGATTTCTAGCATGGACGTACAGAGCTTTTATCAGGTGATTGCTCGAAATATGGGTCAACAAGATCGATAAGAGTGGGGAAAAATAAAATCAAATTTGAGAGTTGGAAAGCTAAAACAATGAGCTCAAATACAATCTTGAGCTAAAGAGGGCCATAGATTGGTGATCATCACCTTTAACAACATTTACATCCTTATATAATCCATTCCTTTCTTTAAAGATATTCATAAAGGTCCATTTTAATACATTCAAAGCATCTTTTATTGAGAATACAAAAAGGGAATTCATTGTGTGATATTCAGTCATATTAAATTTTCATTTTGCAAAAAAGAGCCATAAGAATCATCAGTAGAAGTCGGTATAGACATCCATCAAACCCGTTATTTATTCAGTTAACGTTGTTGAAATTTCATGAATTAGTTGATTACAGTATTCTGCAAATGATGTTTAAAGCTAATCAGAAAACATCCAAAACAGATTTGAAAAAAGGGAAAGCCGTTCTAATTTAAAAGGAACAGAGATCTTTAATAAACCGAGATTCAGAACCAAATCGAGGGAACGTTGTTTAACTATAAGAGGAAATCGGTTTATGGAACAATCTCAACAGAGAAACTAAAGAATCAAAATCAAACATGATATTTAAAAGAACAATTAAAGCCAGTTTGTTGAATAAATATGTGGAAATATTTCAATGAGATGTATTGTTCTGTTTCGTGATGGTGTAACAAAAATGTCCTGTGATATGTTTTGTACGGTTTAAAATAAATGATTAAGGAGGACCTACGATGGGGCTGCCAGTGGCTGTGTTTGCATGCAGCCAATTTATTTTGATTTTTATTGTTTTTTTAATTGTTTTAATTAATGCTTTGTGAAAGAGGGGGCAGATATTATAAGATTAGTCTTCTTTCTTTTTGTGTTTTTTTTTCTTAACTTTATTGTTTGTTTGAATGAAATACAATTTACAAATTAAATAAATTAAATAAAATAAATTAGTATGTTTTCATTAGTGTATAAAGAAACAATATTAAGAATTGTAATGTTTTTGTTACCTTTTCAGATGGAGTATTTTAAGTTACTAGTTGATGTAAACTGTAACCTCACCACTAGGTGTCACTATCCTGCAGTAAAATTAATTCTTTCTTCATAATAATGTTATTTCCTGGCAGTGTGGAGTTGTTATAAAATACTTTAAGCACAGTGTTGTTGTGTAGGACTTTGGACACTCTTAAATTCTTGCTCCAAGCTTGACTAGAAACAATCAAGGTGGAGAAAACTTTATTTTAGATTTGAAAAAGAAAAAGGGGGGGGGGAGTATCTGTTCCTACTTCTAACAACACTGTTGCAACAAATAAAAGAACTGGCACTATGTATTGTCACAAATAGGAATTAGCCCGGGGGATACACAAGCAAAACGTCGCTATTTCTCTTCCTTCTTTATTGTTTGGCATGCAAATAAAGCTGCTACCTGTTAGGAGGTTACCTGGCCCCTCCTCTTAGTGAACTGTAAGGTGAGACAGAAAAGACTCAGACTGCGTTGTTATTTACTTTGACAGCAGCCATTTCTTCTCCCAACTGAAGCAATTGAAATAACCTCCTCCCTGCAGGTTCTTTACAGCCTTGGAGAAGGACTGTACCTGACCAGCACCTGACAGGCTGAGGAAATGGAGATGGAAGGAAATGCTGCTCAACCCCTTACCTGTAGTAATGACGCTGAAAGGTGAGCTTTAAATTAATGTTCTTTGCCCTTTCTTTAACTTAAGGTTGTTACTTTATTGTTCTGACCATGAGTGACTTACATCAGCGTCTTTCCTTATTGTATTTGCACTTTATGTTTTATGTTACATACAAGTAGAGCTGCTATTAAAAGCCAACTACCCAGCTTGCTATAATAATCATATTTTATCAAATGTTTTATTTGTTGTTAAAATACCATTTCTGAGATATGAGGCTATATCTTTTGTTTTTTTATAAAGCTCATTGCTTGTGAACCTGCTAAGAGTAATTTGAAACTGAGTGATCATCCAGTGAGGGCATTTGATCTTCCCTGAAGAAACTGTATCCGTTGGAGGTTGTTGTAGCGTCTGTCACCAGGTAAAAGAAGAGAGAAGAAGGGGGCGGGATGAAAGACACACTGTTGTCAGTCTTTTCTTCACATTTTTTGTGTGTGTGTTTGCATTAACATTCATTTTGCATTTGCCTCCGCAGGGTTGACCCCTACGGCTTTGAAAGGCATCACGATTTTGAACCTTACAAGGAGATGATGAACGAATATGTAGCCGTCCTCAACAGGAGATCGATGAGATGGTCCAAACTCCTACAAGAGAAACCACATGTTGAGAAGAACCTGACAGGTATACTCCTATAGGAACATACATTGTAACACAACCCACTCTTGTGTTTTAGTTAGTTCTGGTTCTCTTGGGGGTCATATGATGTAATTCTAATATGTGTTTTGGAAGTGAAAAGGTATGTGCGTAAAGGTGTGCCTAATGAGCATCGAGCCAGGATATGGATGGCAGCCAGTGGAGCACAGAAACAACTGCAGAGCAACCCGGGTTATTACCAATCTCTGCTGGCCATGGAGCATGACAGCATGCTGAAGGACACCATTCAGACAGGTGAAAGAACGGGCATTATTTTTATAAGACATTCAAAGAAACCTAAGGAGATAATACAATAATGTTAAATTTCCTTGGTTCTTGTATTGGGTCATGGCTGAAGGGTATAATGTGCAATCCAGTATGTTGCATCTCTCAGACCAAAACAATATTCCCTCAGCACACTGCTTGCCCTCCGCCCTCAGTATGCTGAAAGCAGCATTTGTAAGACTGATACCTATTCCGATATGAAGCCTGTGAAACCTAAACAAGCTGAAGGAAGTGCCGTCCTGTCAGTGTGAACACAGAGTTGAGAACAAACACAAAAGGGAACATTGTTAAATGTTTTCAGTTTGATTAGGAAGTCAACACTCAGTCTGTCGGGTTAAAGCCACATCATATTGACTTTAACCCATTGATTGTTTATAAGAATGGCAAGCTCCATTTGTGAAGCCAAAACACCTATCGTCATCCCAACCTTTCCAATCCATGTAGTTTTTGGAGCACTTTTTAATTTTTTAATAGAACGGTGCACAATGACAAACAACTTTATACTGACAAAAATGTGTCTTTCTTATTGACAAAATATTATTGTGGATGGTGGCTCCCTCCATTTACTTACCAGGACCTGTAAGTTTAACTGTGGGTAGAGAAGCCCTGATGTTGAAAATGAAGCCAATGTGGAAGTATAAAAACTACAGTTCCCCAGGTGTCAACTTGAAACTGACTGCAAAAGCCCGGAAAGTCCCATTAACATGTTAAAATGTCAATGTTTACAGTCTGGTTTAAAAAAAAAAAAAGCTTTTCAGTATCAATAGTTTATTTTGGTTTACACTGAATGGAAGTGATTTTTTTAATATCTCATCTGTTTTGAATATGTCAGGGCTAAGAGTTATTCATAATTAGGGGCATGGAGGATCTGACTGATAAGCGGGCATGTCGTAGCTGTTTGCGAGGAGGCTTTTTAGCTGGATGCTAGTTCAATCAAACTTTATTGATATAGCACCTTTCAGACAAATTAAATCGCAATTCAAAGTCCTTTACAAGAGTGCAGAAAAGTTGTTGACGAAAAAGTAGTTTATAAAATCATTGAGAGTTGATCAAAAGTTAGTTTTGAGGCTGCATTTCCAATATGACTACCACCATCCATGGGCTTCAAAAATAGCTTCAGAAAATGTATTATGCTACGTCCATGTTTTATACAGAACTGAGCCAGTGGTATCGTGTTAGTAACGCCTGATTTTCCTACAATAACAATAGACATACATGATCATACTGTGCTCCATCGTCATGGTACCAACACAAAGGTCTAGAACTAATCTTTTCATGTTTCTGGCAGACATGCACCGGACGTTTCCTGACAATGTCCTCTTCAGAAGCAAAGCAGAGCCGAGTCTGCAGAAAGCTCTTTTCAATGTGCTGCTGGCCTATGGACATCATAACAAGGCAGTGGGTTACTGTCAGGTAAAGCAAACTTTTCCTCTCCTCTCACTTTATATAACCTCTGTTTACCTTAAGAACTGGACTGGTTAGTTCCTTAGCTAATATATGTGAAGAGTTTATACCAAATGAAACATCAATAACTTTCAGGCACAACATCAACCTGCAAGACTTTTTGTATGAGTTTCATTATAGAAAAGGACAACTGCAGGGACCAGGAATTTGACTTTGAGAGAGACTTGCTGCTCTGAAACTTAAGTTTGTATTTGCTCAAGTACTCGCTGCATTCAAAAGACTCTCTTATGTCTGTAGACTACTTTGCATAATCTTCATGGGTCTGTAGAGCTTTGCAAAGAAGCAGACAACAATGAGCTGGAGGAACTTTTTTTTCAAACCTTTAAAAGTAGCTTCTGGGTCTTAAAGTCCTGGGTAAAAACATATTAATTGTGCACATAACAGCTAATTTCATGGAGATAAAATTCCATCCTTTAGTTTATGGCTGCTTGTGTGTTTTTGTCTGTGCATCAGTGAAGCACAGCATGCGAGAGGGGTTACCAAGGTTATCGTTGTTATCGTTGTTGCTATAGTGTGCTGTTTTTTTTTTCTAGGGTATGAACTTCATTGCTGGCTACCTCATCATCATTACCAAAGATGAAGAAAAATCCTTCTGGCTGATGGATGCGTTGTTGGTCAGAATGCTCCCAGGTACTGTGCGAGGAATTATGTGAGAAAAGTATATTTTACCAAAAAAAAATGGTAAAAGTATTGTTCAGCCCAAACAATGTAGCCTTCAATGTAGCTCTAAAATTAAAGAGCTGTTAATTAATCACATTCATTTAAAGCTTGTTAGATTCAATGGATTTAAAGTCTTTATATGTGATTTTTTACACTTAAATATAATAGAAATCAAGTATATCCTCTGAAAATAACTCTGTGAGCCATGACTGTCTACAATGGGTGTAACACCCGAGTCCCACTGTCTGTGATGCTTTCAGAGTGATCTTTATTATGCTCGTATCTTCACACTGCATGTAAATTTACCTGAAATGAGCGTGATCTAGAAACACAGTTAAGCAGTGAGTACAGTATGTTATTCTTCTTTTCATCAGTCCCTCAATTAAACAACTTTTATACGTGAGGGGAGGAGTCAGCCGGCCGTCCTGGCGATGTAAACAAACTGAAGATAGGACTCTGAAAACTCTGAAAACATCACAGACAGTGGGACTCGGGTGTTACACCCATTGTAGACAGTCATGACTCACAGAGTTATTTTCAGAGGATATTCTTGATTTCTACATTTAAGTGTGAAACATCACATAGAAAGACTTTAAGGCAGACAAAATATATCACTAATATAGGAAGTTTCATCATTTGCACAACAATGCACAGGGATAATTTCTTGTCTTACCCCTTATAATACGAAAACCGATCAGTAGTGGACCAAGGTAAGAGCCTTGTGGTACCTCACATGGAAAATGTATTCTGGCAAGAAAGTCGTAGTCAACACTATCATCTCAAGCAAAAACAACTTTTGGTATATTTCAGACTACTACAGCCCGGCCATGTTGGGCTTGAAGACCGACCAGGAGGTTCTTGGCGAGCTGGTGAAGACTAAATGTCCTGCAGTGGGACAGCTAATGGCCCAGTATCCTGGCATATGGACACTGGTGGTGTCACGTTGGTTCATTTGCCTCTATATTGACATACTACCTATTGAGGTGAGGAACTGTTCAGGTTTAGTTGTTGAGGGCAAATGAATCCTTCATGTTGCATTAAGGCTCATTATTTGACCGACATGTTTCTGGTTTCTTGTACTTACAGACCGTCTTGCGGGTCTGGGATTGTCTTTTCTATGAGGGCTCTAAAGTTCTCTTCCGGGTTGCTCTGACTCTCATCATCCACCATCAGCAGGAGATATTAAGAGCTCGCTCTTTGATGGATGTGTGGGAGTGCTTCAAACAAATAACCAGTGGAGCTTTCACTCTGGACTGTCACAATTTCATGCAGGTAGGATGGAAATATTTAGTTGACAATGTGAAAATATTTAATTGATTGACAGGTCACTCATTGGAATTTAAATAGAAAAAAGGGAAATAATTAAATTGTCAAGCAGTTAATCTGTAGTAAAGCTACAAACTACAAAATAAAAGACAATATTCATAATCTGAGAGCACAGGAGACTCCTTCATTGACAACCAAACTTGTTTCAGATGTTTTATCTGTCAGTCAAACTTGAGTTTATCATCTAATTGTTTCAGGTCTGAATTGATTTTTATTCTCATACTAACTTTGCACCTTTTATCATTATGAAAATATACTTCTCATCCTGCTATTAGACAGAAGACATGTCTTATTTCATAAAGCTGAGACTGGTACACTTTGCCAATCATCAGTAAACGTTTGGAAAAATCTGGTATTATCCCCGAGCACAGGCCAAAAAGAAAGAAACATATTGTTTGATACAGCAGAAGGCTGCAAGGGAGGAAGCTATAAATTCAACGTCACTGAGTTTGAGTTCATTATGACAAAGATGTTTGCATGGTGTCTTTTAGTATCGAACACTTAGCATTTATGTAACTGGAAATACAGTCCAGTTAATTTGATACTGAAACAAAAGTGAAATCAGAGCGTTCCTCGTCATTGGTTATTTACAAGAAAATGCCTCAACAGCAGACCAAGGTAAAGTCAAATCAAGCTCCATTAAAAGCCTCCCCATATTAGATAAAGGTTATGATCGCCCGACCACGGCCAGGCCAGCTGGAGAGCAGCTGGTTCAAACAGGAGGGAGACAAGAAATTAAAAATTAGTTCACAGATATTTGGATGATCCCAATATATAAGAAGAGAAAGCAGTTTGTGTTCTAAGGGTAAAAAAGAGGCCAACTGAACAGAGAAAAAAGATATTGATCAGGAAAGACAGTCAGTTTAGCAGGAGTGTTTTTCATTAAGTCTAATTTGTCTGAGATGCTGTTCTAATAGAAAAGCATGGACTCCTTTGAAAACACAATTTGTGTGCTGGAGTAATGCTGAAGTTTAATCTTTTTATTTTATTTTACAGAAAATCTTTGCAGAACCTGGAAGCCTGTCTATGGCAACGATTGATAAACTGAGAGAGAAATGCAGACAACGAATACTGGAGGAAGAATCTGGACAGCCGTAACTATAACGCAGACATCTTTCATTCAGTATGAGAATAAAAAACTGTATTATCAGGGGGAAAAATTAACAATCACCATAGGTACTTAAATGCCTTTTCTTTGCTTCTTTTGTAAATCACTATATTACACTTTAATCCAGTCGAGAGGGAAACTAAAGGATGTGCTAAAGAGTGTCAGCTGATGATGAACATTTCTGCTGCTAAAAAAACTTTAATACAGTCAACTGAATCTGACAGGTTTTCATTATTGCACTTTAGTAATATTTCATCGCATAAGTAGTGTGGGAGTGAGAGTATTTTGTTTATTTCTGAGGAGAATGAGGGAATTCATATTGTTTACATTGAAACACTGTTCAACCGTTCATTTCAAAGTTAGAAGTTTAGCATTTTGTGTGGGAGCTGCCGTTCTTATTATTTCTGATTTGTTAAAGAAAATCTAACAAGTGGTCCAATTGTTTTTCCAGATAAAGGTGAGGATAAGTAGAAAAGACTGAGTGAGATTATTTTAAGACACCAACAGTTTATCCAGGAAGTCCCTGAACCTGAGGGTTTTATAAGTTTAAAATCCTTTAAGACCGCTGAGTCCCAGAAAGACTGAACTGTAGAACGTAGATTTTGGACGATGTGTATTCAAAAGATGTGTGCTGTAAATAAATAAGTCCATAATTATGTGTAATATGATAATTACAAATTAACAAACACATGTAAGACATGATTATTATATAAATAAAGAGCTCATATTTTAACCTTACAGCCCTGGACATTGCTTTTGCTTACTTCTACCTTATAAAGGCAGAGCTTATTAAGATCATAATTCATGTTCAACAACTTTAGTGTCAATCAGCAGGAATTGAAAACTCTTAGTTAATGGCCTATTAGCTATAAACTATGGTCATGTAGAATAAGGTACTAATAATGACTAATAAGCAGCCAGTATGCTAATAATTAGCATGCTAATGAGCAACTAGTTAAAGGCTTTATATGTGATTTTTTGATCCAGCAGATGTCGCCCTTGAGCACCAGCATGAAATCAAAACAACTCTCGCTGCATTGTTGTGTTAGCATGCTAATGCTAGCGATCTTTATTATGCTGGTATCTTCACACTGCATGTAAATTTACCTGAAATGAGCGTGATCTAGAAACACAGTTAAGCAGTGAGTACAGTATGTTATTCTTCTTTTCTCTAGTCCCTCAATTAAACAACTTTTATACACGAGGGGAGGAGTCAGCCGGCCGTCCGGGCGATGTAAACAAAGTGAAGATAGGACTCTGAAAACTCTGAAAACATGACAGACAGTGGGACTCGGGTGTTACACCCATTGTAGACAGTCATGACTCACAGAGTTATTTTCAGAGGATATACTTGATTTATACATTTAAGTGTCAAAAATCACATATAAAGCCTTTAATGGTGAATATTGTGACCTTAATTCAAAGTGTTACCAACACAGTTAACAATAAAGACATTACGACGCCTACATTGACTCAGAATTAAACTATTTTTTTATTATTATTTAATGCCTTCTTAGTAGTCCCTATTTTTAGTTGTATTGTGACTTCTTTCAGTCTTTCTAGTTTTCTTCTTTGGTCTATTTGTCGTAATTATTGTGTCTGAAAATGATTCTAACAGTCTAACAGTTTCTGAAAACTTTTTCACAACCTGAAATTAAGAAAAAAACGGTAGAAGCAGCAAACTCGCCCATATTTCGTAAAAACCTGTGTTGAAACGGTGTTTTCCTACTTTTCACCACAGCCTCAAAACTCAAACTTTGGTTCAACCTATTAAAAAGAAGTTCACATTTATTACTGTACTTTATACAATAACATTTCACTCTGGTGTTTGATATGTTCAGATTTTAAAGATAAAATAGTGCATTTAACATATCACACTTATTCTCAAACACAGTCCTAAGTAGTCCAAGCAAACAAGCAGGAACAGGTCTGACGGATGATTCTTTGTATAAGAAGACAAAACAAAGTCAAACAGTGTCGTTCATTCTCTTTTATTGACCTCTCCTTTAGAAAACAGTTCAAACAAAACACATTAAAACCTTATTAAATCTCTACTTGGATCTTTAGATGAGGGGAGGAACATAAAAACAAAAAAACATCGGTATTTTGTCCTACGACATCAATCAACACATGTTCATGGTAGTAACAGTAACAGTACATGAAGGCTTTGTGAGACACAGAAAAATGTCCCCGACATGACAGCAACATGGTGTCAGTGAGCGAGTGAGTACCTTTTGTGGGTATTGGCTTTTCTTTAATCCCAACCTCTGTCAGAGCTGGGAAGGCACTGATGAACACTGACCAGAGCATTTTTTGGCCTCTTTAAACCATTACTTGGGGGCTGCGTCTCAAGACTTTAGTGCAACTTCTTTCGCTCCAGCAATCAAAACCCCCAAGTGGGCAAATAATCAAAGAGCAAAAAAAAAAAAACAACAAAAAAACCCACCCAGTGGACTGAAAACACTTCAACATTATTACACTCTTTAACAGTGATGTCCTGAGCTTTTCAAGCACCTTAACTGTACCGGCACTCCTCGTCATTTTTTCTTTTTTTAAGTGATTCCTTGTAGTGTTTGGACATTGTAACAGTAGAGTAACGCTACCATCACCACCTAAAGACATATTTAGACATTTTTATGAAGTTGCCTTCTCAACAAAAGTTGGATGAGAAGATAAGCAACACTCTCAGGTCTTTATGGTGAATATGAAAATACAACCAGAATCGTTATGGCCTGCTCTAACATGTCATCTGGAAACAGAGACAGCAAGCCTGACTCGATCAAAACATAAGAAAATCCACCTACCCAAACCTAAAAATGCTAAAAATGATATCTTGTTTTTTTAATCTGTGCAAACAGCGAGGTGTAAAAACAACACATTGATATAGTAAGGCCCATGACTACTTGTAAAACATCAAAGTGTTGTCTGTACGCCTCAGTTTGTTCTTTTGCTAGGTTTGTGTACACACTAATTGTTTCCATGGTTTAAGCTAAGCTATGCTAACATCCTCCTGCTGGCTGTAGCTTCACATTCAGCCGACAATAGAGTAGTATTTATCTTCTTATCTAACTCTCTGAAGGAAAACAAATCAGCCTTTTCCAAAAATGTTGACCTATTTCATTAAATGAAGTGAAAAAAAAAAAAAAAATACCATGCATTTACAACCTCCATTCAAGATTTGTTGCGTACCTTTAAAAGGGAAAATGAGGAAATCATCCCTCTCAACGGATGAAGTAAATCCCTAAATTCATCTTTAACACTAAGGAGAGTTCTTGCATTTGTTCGCTGTTCAGATTGAGTTACTGCCTTTTCAGTATGTTCCCTAAAAACCTGTGTACCTGGGGCTAAATTCAGAGGCAACCTGATGTTTATAAAAACGTTTTCTCTTCGAGGGGGGATTAGGTTCAACCGGCTGGAATATTCCCTTTATGTAACAAACCTTAATCAGAGTGGGACCAATTAAAAAAGGTCAAAAAAAAGAAATAAGAAAAGCTACAGAGGCATTTCCCTCAAATCCTATAATCCCTCAATATTCCTTTCACAGAAATCATAAATAGTACAATTGAGGACTCGCACGGACCCTCTGATCAACATTCAAACCCTGCTTCACTTTGTATCTTTAAAGAGTTTTCACCATCCTATAAGAATCTCCAACAAAGTCCCCTTTTTCTTAACTAGTGGAGTTCAGATCGAGTGTATCAACCTGCAGAGTGATAGTGACTAGTGTTACTGATGAGGGCAAAGAAGAGCACACACAGAGGTGGGGGGGGGGGATGCAGGATGGACAGATAAGAGGGGGGGGAACAGGTCAGAGTGTTAAGTCTCAGGGTTATTTTTTGGGGTGGTGGTTGTTGGGGGGTTAGCGGTCTTCCCTCTGCAAATATTAAAGTGACCTCAGATGGTCTGGTAGCCGGCGTGGCTCCTCTTCCTGCCAATGAGATAGGCCAGGAGCACGATGAGGACGAGACCTGCCAGAGCTGCGCCAACTATGATGGGGATCAGCATGTCGTCTTCATCCAGCTGGCACTCCTCAGCTGAAAGAGAAAAAAAACAGAGAGGACTCATTAGATCAAGACAGGATCTGATTTAGATTATTTTGTCCTATAAGATTTTTAAAAAAGGTCTTTACCTGCTCCAAAGTGATCCCCTTCGAGTCCGAAGGGCTGCACCTGCAGCTGGAAGGTGTTGATGGACAAAACCTGGGTAACATCCAGAGTTTGCTCCTGGTGGCACATGTACGAGTACCCCAGAGTGCCCTGCAGGTAGTCCAGGCTGCTGTTACTGGTCGAGAAGGGTTCTATAAAGAGGACAGCACCGGGAGTGATTACAGAGGAAAGAGGTGTTTGGTAAAATAATAGAATATGATACAAAACATTTTGTAACAAACTTCTTGGGTCTGAATGACTGAAAAGGAACACACGTTTTGGGATGGCGTCAATCGATCAAATTAGCCGGGATCACCTAAACAAGCTGTCATGGCTGCAACTACATTTTTGTCACATGTACTCGATTAAAAGTGCGTCCACTAAAAGTGCTTCTGACCTCGGTGGTCTCACACTGGTATTCTCATTGTCTGAAAACATGACGATGCAGTTGGGAAAGAAGATTCATTGATAGATTGCTGTGCTGCATCACATCATATCATAAAGAGCTTTCTTGAGGTTTTTTATCATATGTGTAAAATACACAGCGGTCTGTACACTGTTGTCAACTAAGCAGAGCTGCTGGAAAAAGTCCTCTTATTCATTAATGTTCTACAAAAAGAAGGGACAACTATTTTGATTATCATGAAATCTTCAAAGTAATTTTCCAAACAAACGTTGTACAGCTGCTAAATTGTGGAGATCTTCTGCTCCTCTCTTTTTTAATTTTCTAATTAACTGAAGTTCTTTCAAATTTTCTCTGGCAAAAAAAATAAAATAAATAAAGACATCTAATTGGAAACTGTAATGAATAGTTGTCTCTGTTTCTGACATATTATAGACAAAGACAATCAAATAATGTTAAATTGCAGCTCTTCAACAACACCCCTTAACTTTATTTACACCTTAACCAAAGACCACAGACATTAAAAGATCTTATTTTTAAAGATATGTTTGAAGGGCACAGTGGGTTCATTTAACCAAACAGGTGTGTTTAGGATGTTGTGTATGTTTATATTTATCAGTGAAGACTATTTTAAGTCACTACTGGTGTGTTACCTGTTTTTTTTGGGGGGGCTGATAAAAACTACAACAACTGAAGAGGGTGACAGAGTCCTTTAAATGTGACACAAGGCAGCTAGAATACACTCTGAGAGTTACAGTGCACTCACCTTTTGTGTCTGGCCGAACAGCAACCAGAGACACTTCACTCAGGTGGTACTTATTGGTTGTGGTATTCTGCAGAATAAGAGCAGGATCGAGTAAGATTGATGACACTGCGGTAAAGCATGTTTACCTTTAAGCAACAGCTGCCATCTAGTGGCTGTTAGAGGAAGAACATTTAAAAACAAAAACAAGAAGATAAACATCACAGTGGTTTTTCATGCACATGTTTGTGAGATATGAGTAACTTACCAGGGTGAAGGAAAAAGTCAGGTTGGTCTTATCAGAATCAGTCGTGAGCTTCAGGATGGCCCTCTCTTCTGTACATGACCCAGAGCTCTTGGTCATATTTGGCTGAAGGTTCACGACCTCCTGCAGAGTCTGCAAACAAATTATGCAACATTTAGCTTTTCACACCTTTGTGTGAGTGTGCATACCTGAAGCTGAGACAGCATCAGAATTGTTTGTTTGTATTTAAACACCTTGTTCTGGGAGACGGAGCTGAAGGTGATGTTGAGCTGGAGTCCCATAGAAGCCAGCAAACAGGCGGTGTTGTTGGTACCGTAGACATGGTAGTTCCCTTTTTCAGGTCTGCCTGGCTCTTTGTGCGGGGCAGCAGTGGTTGGAGGGGCGACAGTGGCAAAACCCTGGTGCAGGACGGCAGCTGAAAGAGAACAAATCTCTTGTGAGTCTAAAACTAAAAGGAATGTAGAGTGCTGGATAAATAGATTATTTCTGCAGATTCACAGAATCAAATTTGATACTTTTAAAAAAAAAAAATTGTAAACAACTTTTTATCAATTACAAGAGTGTATTTCTGAAATCACTAACAGTGGACATCAAAACTTGTTTTGTCATAAAACACACCGATCATTAAAGGATGACGTAATAAAGTCCTGACTGAGACCTGTTCTCACCTCGAGTTTGGTCATTCTCAAATATACAGCTAACACCATTAACTTAAAACTGCAGGTCAATCACAGGGAATAACCATTCATATATTATAGAACTGACACATGATTGGAGGCGGGGCCAAGTTCATTCCAATGAAAGCTGCTCAGTGTGAAGCAATAAAAGAAAGTCAGACTTCTGCATGTGAAAGTACCCGAGTCTCCGGCGTGACTGGGCCCATAGAGCATGCTACGTTCATTATGTCTACACAAAATGTTTTCTTCAATTCAGCTTGAATCACATTTTACAATTTTTAGGACATAATGGTTTTTAAAATAGTTATTAGGAAGTTGGTGTACCTCAAAAAGTTGATCTTTTTGGGCCAAATGGCATCATGTGACGCTGCAATACCAAGACCACCCACTGGGGGCTTGGGAATAACAATTTCCATAAAGTAGATGAAGTCTATTGTTCAGTCAATAATCTTGCACCAAATCACAATAAAAAGTTATCTCACAACATTTACTTTACTCAATTTCGATTTTTAGACACCAAACATGAATCCACCAATGAGCAGCCACTTTACAACAGAGGCAGGAAAAACCTAAACCAGAACAAGATCTGGGCAAAGAAAGAGGGACAGCAGCTAAACTTTTATCATTTGGATTTAATGAGAGACAATGAACTGTGGCAACTTTTTGAGGTACATGAGTTCAGTCAAATTTAATCAATCAATCAATCAATTTTTGTTTGTATAGCGTCAACTCATAACAAGTGTTATCTCGAGACACTTTACAAAAAGCAGGTAAAAGACCTTACTTATTATTATTATTATGAAGAGACCACATTCAAATATATTTTTAAATCTTATTCATCGTGTCTTCACTTCACAGAAACACTTGATGTGTTTATCTAGTGTCCATTGTTTCTTTTAAAACATTTCTTTTTGTTTTGTTCTTACATAATAGTATAATAATAATAATAATAATAATATAATAATGTTATGCCTCTCTGTTCAGCTTAGTTGTCCTTGTATCCAGCTGTGTGTCCACTTCCTGTAACTTAACACCTTCATTGTGTTTACACACACACACTCTCATGTCCTGTACTGCTTCACTTGTGTGAATCTTATAATATGTTTAAGGTTAAGCAGAGGTGCATTGCATCTATATTGGTAAAAACAAAACATTGTAAGAATTTCAGTCTTTCCAAATTAAACAAACATTATTATTTTAATTAAAAACTGACTATGAAACATCTGTTTTTAGTGTTAACTCCCCAGTTCTTCCAAGTCAACCTTACAAATAATCTGCTAGAATAAAAAGATGAAAAACAACATAACCAGCAGGACTCCACAGATTGACCCTTTGCTTCATTATTGTTTTTTATTCACATTTGTTTTTCATCTGAGACATTAACTCAGCTTTATCACAGCAAAAACAACATTCATATGTAGAAACAACAACACTGACATGTTAGGTTAACTTACACTTAAGTCTCATTAACTAATCGACACCACAGTGTGACGTCATGACTTTTATAAATCTGTAGTCCTTCAGTTTTGGAGCAGGTTAGTTTGTGACCTTCGGGATTTGGTGACGTTGTTTGTATTGTTCTCTCCGGACAAAAGAACAGTCAGACTTAAAACCCGAGTTAGAGTCTCGTACTCACCTAGAACCAGCTGTAATGTTACTCCCAGGCACCAGGACTGAACACCGCCGAGCTGCGTCATGTTTCACGGGTTTCTCTTCCAGCTGTTTCAGCTCCTGTCACAGTGAAATCTCTGCAGCAGCAGCAGCAGCGAGCTAGGACGGGCTATGTTGTGCTAGCTGATGCTAACGTTAGCGTCGGAACAAAAAGAGAAAACAAAAAGTCGAGTGCGCAGATTTTTCTAGATGATAATGAATCCGTTCAGTTGATAAAAACCAGCAAATGTTTCTAGTTATTAGTTTCCACTTCTTTAAAACCCTGTACAGGCCGGCTGCGTTGTTGATTTCACTCGCCTTGCAACACTCCTGACATCAGGATCATGTGACAGGAGGTTTAAGAAACACCCAGAAGGTCATGTGACACAACAGGCCCCGCCCCCCCGGACACAACCCCGCTGAACAGTTAAAAGGTAAGATTAACTACGGTGGCTGGGAAGTGCAAAGCAAAATCACAAAATGTGAGACACATTTAAATTTTAAAAAACATTTTTACATTTTATGAAACATAATTGCAAAACTAAAAACACTTACCGAGGACAAAACTAATTTCTTGTTGTTTTGATTTCTGGTCTTTGTTGATTTTTTTTGTCCTTGCTCCAGATTGTTGTCTGCTTACATTTGCCTGATGTATACTTTTGGAAAAGTTAGATTTTTATTTTATTTTATTTATTTATTTATTTGTTTGTTTGTTTGTTTGTTTTTATTTATTTAATTATTTAATTATTTATTTTATTTTATTTTATTTTATTTTATTTTATTTTATTTTATTTTATTTTATTTTATTTTATTTTATTTTATTTTATTTATTTATTTTTATATATAATCCCCCCTATTCTTGATTTATGTTTGAATTAACTTGTTCCTGTGTATTTTGCTGTTGTATGTTCATCCGCTGTTAGTATAAACATTTTTGTATGTTTTAAATTTGTCAATAAAGACGGATTAAAAAAATAAGAAGAAAAAAAAAGAAAAAAGAAAAAAAGTTAAAAGATAAGATACCGTTTTTATTTAATCACAATACTTACATCATCTAAGGAGTTTGTTTAATGGAGTAGGCATTATTCAGCAGAACTCTAACTTGAATTAAAAATGGACCTTCTAAGATTTAACAATAGGCCTATCAAATATTTCACATTAAAAAAAAACAGCAAAAATATGAATAAAGATAAAGATTTGACAGATCTGTTCATGAGAACTGTGTTGCAAATGAAGTTTTCAACAATAGTACACAGAAAAAAACAAAGGAAGAACAGCAGAAGAGAGAAAAACATACACAAATAAAAGTGACAGAGGAGCTTTGTTGTGCATATGTTTCACTGGTATACATATCCCACAAACTTAGTATATGGGATACTTCTGTATGCAGCAGAATGCATAAATAAAGACAAATTGAATACAAAGAAGAAAGAGCAAAGAGAGAAGGGAAAAGAGGAGAATTGTGTTTTGGCTTGTTTTGTCTCCTCTAAATGATTTCAGTACAGCCTACACAAGAAGAGGGAAATAGTGTAAGAGGCACGTGTAGCCTACTTAATGGACCTGTCCCTCGCCTCGCACGATGACGATAACCACTTCATTTGCTTCGGAAGTTTGGATGTCTATGTCTAATTAAATGTCCCTAAGGTCAGAGCTCAGTCAGAGGTCCCTAAACATTTTAACACCCGAGTGTAAAAAACTTCAGTCTCCCCTCTTCAACCCGACCCGGCCTCACTTATCTGCTGGTTCAAGAGCTTCCGGCAGTGTCACAGATCTGTGTGATTATGCATCTTGAGACAGACACGTTCTTTTGAAAAGCTGCAAAGGCCTCGTGTCTGTAACCCTTTCCTTTACACACTAACAGTTAAGTGTCACAGGGGCAACATGTCTTTTGACCTTTTGAACACACAGTCTACTTCAACAGGCTGGAGCCGGGTACAAATGTCAGATCAGTCTCCCTCTGCAGACGAGATAACCAACAAACACATTTTCCGGTTATCAGATTCTTACTCACTGTTTGTTAACACATTGTTTACTCTGTTTGCTGTTCACTCTTTAAGATGAACAGTAGAGGCTACAGTGCATTTTAAAAGCTGTCACATCTCTGCAGGTAGAAAAGGATCTTAAACTCATTTCTTGTGGGGTGGACTTCCCCAAACTTAATAATACTGATAGGCCATTTAGAAATCTTAAACTTTCTGGGGCCCGACCACACTTCTTTTCTCACACGTCTGATCAGCATCTCAAATTATAAGAAAGAATTCAATATGTTTAGGCTATACTAAAGGCAGTGCAGTGCAAATAAGTTATTGATATTAGGTTCAATTAACAATCTGTAGAGCAACAAAATAAGTGCAAATTGTAAAATTGTGCTTTGTAATGCCGGCAACACCACGGACACTGTATCATGTGATACTATACAATGCAGTAGAGAGAGATGAGTGGTTTTTACCTTACCCCTTTTTTTTTGCCACTTTGTGTTTATTGGGCAATCCAAACATAGTTCATTTCTTACATCATTATTCTTTTTTTTCTTTTTTTTTATAATGTTTTATAAATCAATAATATAATGCAGAAGAAGAAAACAAAATGGTTATAATAATATCTTAGTTTGACCAATTTTGTTTTTGTAATAGAGAAAAAATAAAACAACAAAAAACAAGCAACCCACATAAAAAAAAACCACACACACACAAAACAAAACAAAACAAAAAAGTGACACACACATCACCAATGACATAACCATGATTTTTTCAACCAAAATATTGTTTCCATACAATCCCCTATTCAGTATGTATTTTATAGTTTATATTTTAGCCAACCTGTATCTAAACATCCTCCAGCACGTGTTGCCATGGAAACCATCTGTCAAGGAATTTTGCATTTTTGCAGTCTTATCTTAAAAGTTATCTTTTCCATTATGTAAATACCTTTGACAATTCATTTCCGAGACTCGTGGGTTTAATTAAAGAAAAGCTAACCCCCCAAACACCAACACAAACAAAACAATCTGTTGCTTTACAAAATGAACATCAGTGTAACTTCTAGAGTTTCAACAGAAGATGACTACACGCCATCAGACCTTTGTATAAACTATCCAGTCAGTGTTTCATGATTTTTACTAATATGTGCACGTCTAATTAGACGACCTCAGACCTGACAGAGCTTCGTTCCCCCCTGAGATCTTTGGCTGGACCTCAGGTTGGGAACCAAATGCATTAGATTACAGTTTGAACAAAATCTATCAGTCGAGAATCGATCAAGTTGAATTTAAGATAGTGACAGCTGAAAAAGAAAAGAGAGGAAACAGAAAACTGTGTTCTTCAGAAAAAGAGTCGAGGAGGGAGAGTCATGGATGCAGTAAACAAAAAAACAGGTACCTTCTGCTTTTGACCCTTTAACTGTAAATCCAAGCAAAGGTGAGTCATCCTGCTGGTTATATAATCCAGAAGACTATTAAAGGAAAGACAAGCTCATTTGTGATGCAAAGATGAACCCGGGGGGGAAACATGTTTTCAGTTTTTTGTAGGGGGCGGGTTGAAGGTTTTCTACGATGCAAGCTACTTTCTTAGTCCACCTGCATCCTCTTCTTCTGATCAGAGTGAAGAGGAGAATTAAGAGTGAGGCGTTCAGAAACAGACAGGGAGGAGAGAAAAAGAGAGGAAAGAGATAACTGAGTTCTTCAGAGAAAGAGTCGAGGAGGGAGAGTCATGGATGCAGGTAAGTGATGCAAATACAGAATAAACTGTGAGCAGAAAAATACCATGAAGGGTTGAAATCTGATCTCAGACAGCTTTAACATCTGGTTGTTGTGGGAGAAGAAAGTGAGATATCAGATTTTAAACGTTTTGTATTTACGTCCTAAATTTGTCATCTTAAAAATATGTTGTGACATTTTGCCTTGATGGAACATGCAGCACTCTTTTAATTCTAATTTTAATTTTGAGGAATTAAATCCATGAGGAGATGTAAGTTCTGGGATTTTCTGTATTGAAAAAGAGCAAAAGTGACAGTTGAGGCAGAAGAATAGCTGACGGAAAAAGTGGAGCTATTTGTTTCAAAATTATGGAAATGAAGACATGAGACTTATTTTCCATTCAAATAATCCAAAATAGATTTAGAGCGGTGGAAACAATTCATGTGTGAACACTCTGACTGTGTGTTGAGGATGCAAACATGAAACTCTGACACAGATGATAACATCATGTTTGTTGCTCTTTTTTTCAACATGCTGCAGACACTGGGGTTCTCTCATTTGTCATATTTTACCTTCAGATTGTTTTGTGTTACATTTATTTTTTGTGGGGTTCTCAGTAAATCCAAATGTGAGATGATAATTTAAAGCGGCGCCATTAGAAATACAAACATTTCAATCCCTGAGGGTTCACTGGAGGAGCTGATGAGCAGAAGTTTTTGTGTATTCGATATTTCCAAGACTCTTTTTGTGATGTCGTACTTAAGGCGAAGTTGTGGAAAACATCTGATCAAAAACCCTTTAAGGTCCTGTCGTGTATTTTAGTCACATTCAGAGTGATTAGGAAACAAGAAGAAACATGTCTGGATAAAGAATCTCTCTCAGGTTTTATTATGACTGAAACAACAGTGAAGGTGAGTTTGCAACATCAGAAAATAAATCATTGAATCTCCTACATCAGACAACCCCAATATGTAAGTCAACGCTGACGCTGCCATGGACTTAATATTGAATTAACTTTCCTCGTTACACTTTTTTATTCAATCGAGAGACACAATTTGTACTTGCTGGATATCTGACATTAGATTGACAAATTTGAAATGAATTTTAAAATTATACTCACCATGCTGAATCAGTAAATATTGATCAGTGGTCGTGCGTACAGGAACATTAAACATTAAACTGATTCCGCTGCACACAAAAAACTATAAAAAGAAAAACAAATAATAAATAATATGAATAAGTTTGGTAACCATTTGAACCACTGACAACAAATCTAAAAATAAGTCAAATAAGATAAAAAAAGATATGTAAAATGGACAATCATTTAACTGATATTTTAAAGATATTGTTCTCATCATTTATAATATCTGCACCATTTAAAAATGACTCTTTGTTATTAGATTCAAGATTCAAGATTTTTATTTGTCACATGCTCATACAGATGTGCAGTGAAATGTAAAAACTGTTCCGCAAGGTCATGCAATAACACTCAAATTACTAAAACACATAAATACAGTAAAATAGAATATAATGTAACATTTAAAAAATAAAGATTTGAATATAGAATAATGTAAGTAGGACAACATATGGAAGTTTAGGATAAGAAAATTGGTATTTTATCATAAACCATACGTTTGTGTAAATAACTTCCTTACAGGTGACTAACTTTTGATGGAGGGAAGCATCAAAATGGAACTCAGCACGATCCCAGCAATTTTGGGCCCAAGCTTTCCAACGGTACCACCGCCGTGTTTGAGATGCATTGCGTTCCTGAAATATGCTGTATACCCCCTGAGTGCCCCCATATTTAAATGAATGGTATGGATGTGATTTTAAGCGTTTTCCCTACACGTCTGGGAGCACGTTTCAGGCCATTTGAAGTCAACTGGTGCCCACTTTTTTGGGGTCATTTTTGTCACATCCACCCACCTGGTACTTTGGTCTGAGATTAGCATCACATTCCGAGTGGTTAAGTTTAGTAAAAGCACATAGGGAGGGGTTAATCTACAATATTAGTAAATTAGGGTTAGGGTTCGGACCACAGATCATACATGTGTATGAAGAGTTAGTTTCTTGACAACAGAGAAAATTATTTTAAATTTAAAATATGGTAAATTCAGTTTAGCACAAGGATTGGAAATAAGGAGAAACATCTGCAAAAAGGAAACAAAATCCTTTAAAGAACTGCAGCTGACGTGGCTTCATATTTGGTACCTTTAAGAGTGCGATCCAATTTTCCTTTTGTAATGTCTGTTAAAAGAAACCACATACATTTGATCTTAAAGGATGAAGCCAGATATCGTTCCAACTCCTAAATTAATGAATTAAATACTTGTAGTTCCATTGATCAGAGATGTAAAGAAACACTGACTGTCAGGCTTAATGTGGGGCAAATGAATAAAGGCTAACTTTAATTAACGATGAGACGGTGTAAACATTAATAATGTGGATATCGTGTTGATCTCGTGGTGGTGGTTCACACAATGACTTCTGGTCGTATCTTCATATCTACACTACAGATATGAGTTTAGTATTTGGTGTTAGCTCTGTGAATCAAGTGTTTGAGCAATTGTTTTAAGGATATTTTTGGTTTTGTATACAAAAGGAAACATTTCATATGAATTAGTAAGATTCAAACACAGTGATAAAATCAACTGAAAGGTTGGCTGACGAGTTGCAGTCAGATCTTCCTTGACCTTCTTATCCAGCATCACTTTTTTCCACTTTTGTCGGTTTTTTTTAAGTATAAAAATAATCTAAGAGCAGTAAATGTTCCATCATTGTGCAACCTGACGCAGTGACGTTGTCAAGAGGAAGTGATCGGTTCAATGAAGCTCCAACACTGGCTGCATTCTCACAACACTTGACTTCTGTTCCAACCGCACGGCGAGCTCAACGACCACAACCTCAGAGCCCCCCTTCTTTCTTATTTCCTGTTTCAAGAGTTTGTGTCTCAATTCTACCTCGTGCCTCACTGTGTGTTGCTTTTTCCACCCTGTGTTGCTAAATGGACATCCTGTGCAACACGTCACAGATTTACACACAAACACGCACGCTGAGGTCTCTTAACCTACTTTTATATATGTTTATATACTCGTACTGAAAGTAACGTCGCTGCTGCTTTGATAATAAGACATGTTTTCACTACAACAGGGAAAACCACATTCCATAAAATCAGAATATACAATATTATTTATGGACTTATTTTGATATATCTTGGGCTAGCAGATAGAAAAAACAGGAACATTAAAACTGTCAGTATACAAATATTATCTGCAAAATGTTCTGATAGCATGAAAATGAATTACAATTATTAAAACAATATGAAAATCTGTGTTTTATCATTGTGAATATTTATAAACTATTGAGTTCTTAAAACCTTATTTTCTTCACTTTCCTTCTTCTTTTTTTCTTTTCCTGCCATGATGATATTTCATGAAATGGTTTGACTGAAATGAACTGGTTTTGCTTTATAAATAATTATCCTTCGTTATATTAACAACATGAGGTCAAAGCCTTTTTTTGTTTCACAGACATGAACACCTTTATCATCATCTGGAAAGAAACCATCCCTCTTTTTTTAAGAAAAGAAAATCTGTTGATGATTTATTTGTTGCATTTTTGGATGTGTGTCCATGACATGTATTTTATAATATATAGAGAATAATGTGAGTGGCTTTACAAGATTAATGAAAAAAGACTCTCAATCCAGAAATGTTTTATTTGTCATGTGCCATCATGAGGTAAAGTTTCAGTGAGAAGTCATCCTGATAATTAAATATTAAAAGAATCATGTTTATACTAGCAGGCTGGAATATTTCAGAGGTGGATGTCTTTGTAGTTTAAAAAAAAAAAGAAAATTAGATTTATTGGATTAAAGTTTGGATTTGATAAAGTGAAAAGCTGCTTTATATTTTATTAACCTTTTAAAAAATTGTCAAAAATAAAATGCAATGTGTGATATCATGACTTTAAGTGTGAAGTAAATACGTTTAATAGACATATATATTATATTTCCTTTAAATATGTAGAGGAATAAAATGATGCACTGTCCCGCTGTCATGATTTAAAGGTTATGTGATCAGAGTCAGTGTGGAGGTTTTTTGTTTAACCGATGATGTTTGCAGATTTTATGGACTTAGAAGTCCAAGGTTTTTATTACACTTACAATGTTTACAGATGTTTTGCAAACAAGTAAATAATTTAATGTTTTAACTTTGATTAATTGTTTTGCTTAATTTTGTTTTCCACATCTGCTGCTTTCTATCCAACTCATTCTTCCTCTGATGATAATCTTATTAACTGATCAGTAAATTCATCGAATAAAAGTGCTGATTTGCAAAAGGAACATCTAAACAGCATATTGTAAATGTACTTGTCTGTCTTCATACTTAGCGAGTTTTGATATTTATCTATTTATCTGTTGTTTGTCCTGCAGAGACTTTCTTCTCTGATCCCACCTTCTGTTACCTCCTGGACGGGATCCTGGTTGTTTACTGCCTCATCGCCACGGCGTTCTTCTTCAGAGAAAAGGTGAGTTAACATAAAGCACAGGAAGGACAGCTACATGATGACAGCACAAAGACAACATATCATTTATTATTTGTTACTTTTTTTAATCCAGATTTTTTCTGGCACCAGCTTCTCAGCAGTTATTGTTTCTATTCTTTTTATTTTTGAATTAACAAAAATAGGAAACATTGAACTCAAAATTGAGTAAACATTCATTTCACATTCATTCGTTTTCTTGATTTATCAGATAAACCTGTATTTTCTTATCATATCATCTTTAACAGCCTTATGTTGTTCCCTGTGCTGTTTGTCCCTTCTCCCCTCCTGTAATCTCCAGCGCAGGTGAAGCTACTGACCTCAGTGTTTACAAGTTATGAAGGAGGGAGGTTTTAGTTAGTTAGGACTGATTTATCTCTCAGTCAGGATTGTGTGTTGTTGTGTTCTGTTAAATCAGTTTTCAGTAGATCTTTGTTAAATGATTTAGTAGGTTTTCTATTAATAATAAATCCCTTTGTTTCGACTTTGTTAAGGTCAAGACTTGTTAGCATGCTAATGCTAGCGATCTTTATTATGCTGGTATCTTCACACTGCATGTAAATTTACCTGAAATGAGCGTGATCTAGAAACACAGTTAAGCAGTGAGTACAGTATGTTATTCTTCTTTTCTCTAGTCCCTCAATTAAACAACTTTTATACACGAGGGGAGGAGTCAGCCGGCCGTCCTGGCGATGTAAACAAAGTGAAGATAGGACTCTGAAAACTCTGAAAACATCACAGACAGTGGGACTCGGGTGTTACACCCATTGTAGACAGTCATGACTCACAGAGTTATTTTCAGAGGATATACTTCATTTCTACATTTAAGTGTGAAAAATCACATAGAAAGACTTTAAAGTGTTTTATGTTGCTGTATTGGGTCAGTGGGTTGTTGTTTGCCCAATGGGTCGCCTTATTGAGGGGCGTAACAAAGGGTTTAGTTGTCATGAAATAGTAAACAGTGAAGAGCACAGCTCGTGGAGAGGGAAACATTGAAACATAGATTGCATGTTAGTCCAGAACTCCAATATGTCATTTAAAAAACTGTAAAACAAAGAAAAGCAAACAAACCTCAGACAAGAAGCTGCAGGGCTGAGAATCTCTGACATTCAGGGTACAAAAATAAATAATGTGTTAAAATATTAATAAGCCTTAATTTGAAGATCTATATGTTTATTTATTTAAAAAATATCTGATCTTCATGTTTTTGTCTCTGTAGTTTTCTTCCCTCCCGTCTGCAGATGTTGGAGCTCCTGTAAGTGTGCATGATTTATCTTTGTATTTCACAGTGACCATGACTTTGTAACATTTGCATATAAAGCTTGTTTCCCTTTTGTGTGTGTGTGTGTGTGTGTGTGTGTGTGTGTGTGTGTGTGTCTCATGCTCTACAAAGGAGGAAAATGGACTTATTTACGAGGTGAGGAAAAAGCCTCTCATAACATCATGATTAATTCTCTCTTTCCTCTGCTGAGAGAAAAGTGTTGATTTTTTCCCTCCCTCCTCCAGGAGCTCGATAGAACAAGAGATGCTGATCCCTACGAGGTGCTCGACCCCTCGAAGAGAAAGGTAAGTCTCCGTGTGCTTTCTGAAAGATCATCTTCTGGACTATTCAGGACCCTTCACTGTCAATCATGATTCTATTTTTTTTATCTATAGAAAAGAGCGAAGAAGAAGAAACCCAAGGTAAGACAATTCACTCTCACACACGGTGTCTTACAATCAACATGCAAAAAGCAAAACAAAACATTAAAACAGTTATAGGGTATTGCTTCAATCAAAAAAAAGTGAAAATGGGACTTTCTTTTTAAAACTAAGTTGCAAAAATGTGAGAGGCTTTCATATTTTTAAATTGCAACACACACTCAAGGAAGTGGCACAACACAGAAACTCTAGGAATAAGGAGCCGAGATCATGACATCATTAGGTAGTCGATGTGCAAACACCTCCTTTAAAATGAACTAAAGTAAAAATGATAATGTTATTTAGAGACAAATCAAGAGAGTGAAATAACAACCAACCGTACTGCAAAGACAATGAGGATTTTTTTTCTGGGTGTAAAGAAATGTCAAAGTCTTTATATGTGATTTTTCACACTTAAATGTAGAAATCAAGTTTATCCTCTGAAAATAACTCTGTGAGTCATGACTGTCTACAATGGGTGTAACACCCGAGTCCCACTGTCTGTGATGTTTCAGAGTTTTCAGAGTCCTATCTTCACTTTGTTTACATCGCCAGGACGGCCGGCTGACTCCTCCCCTCGTGTATAAAAGTTGTTTAATTGAGGGACTAGAGAAAAGAAGAATAACATACTGTACTCACTGCTTAACTGTGTTTCTAGATCACGCTCATTTCAGGTAAATTTACATGCAGTGTGAAGATACCAGCATAATAAAGATCACTAGCATTAGCATGCTAACACAACAATGCAGCGCGAGTTGTTTTGGTTTCATGCTGGTGCTCAATGGTGACATCTGCTGGATCAAAAAATCACATATAAAGCCTTTAACGGACATTTGAATGTGAAACTCTAATTTCTGTGATTAAACAAAAAATAATAATGTAAACTAAAACATATTTTTTATATTTTTAGCTCTGATTTGCTACATTGTTACTGTTATTCAGTAGAATGAAGTTGGTGCCATCATACAACCTTTTTCAAATATATATATATATTTTTTAGACATGTTTTATTTATAGGGGCCACTATTTGTCTGTTGAATTCTAATTCCTTGCTCATTGCAGTTTATCATTTATATCTCTGGAGCATCTCTGCTGGACTTCATGTTTCATGTTGTATGTTTGTAAGATTTATTAGTGTTGTTTATGTATTTGTATGTCTCCAGCTGCAAACAAATTTTGCTGTGGGGACAATAAAGATACCTTTGACCTTTGACAGAGTAAATCTGTGCAGTGTTGTCCTCGGCTGTCACTCACTAATAAAAGTGATCACAAGACATTTGTCACATGCATCACTCTTAACTTGTCAGGGTTCGATCATTTGGATGAAAAAAACAATGTGCAGACTCCGTCATTAGATAACTTCTGGTCCAATCAATGCACAACATGTCTGAACTGTGTCTCTGCCCCTCTACAGCCGACCCAAGATCAGCAAAGAGATACAGACCCCGATGAGTCTCTGGCCACTCAGGACTCAGCTCCACCTCTGCCTCCATCTCGTTAATGTCATTTAACCCGGCTCCAGCTTTTTCAAATCTATGTCAATGGACTATTTGTCTTATACGTAATTATAGACTCAATCTGTGTAAACATTTGTCACTTTTTTTTAAATATTAATAAAAGAAATGTAGAAAAAATACATTATTTGATAAAGATTAGATAATTGTTGACGCTTTTCTGTCACAGTCCTGATTGAAATTAAACTCTTGAGATCTGTTTTGCATTCTTCATAACTCAGACTTTGTATTAAAAAAAAAAAAAAAGAATGGAGGACTACCTGATTCATTGAGTATCGATCCTGCCCTCTTCTGAAGGTGTTGTGTAAAGATTTATCTTAGTTCTGAATAACTGTGAGGTGAATGAAATGGATAATGACATATAATGTAACAGGTGATTTTACTGAGGCACATCATGTGGAGTTTATCTGTGACACTCATGACAATCAGCATCAAAACCATCCGAAACATCATCATCATCTTCCTCAGAATCATCATGAATATAACAAAAGGTGTTTATAAAAGAGCTTTAGCTTTCTCTTAAAGGTGCAAAGGGACTCTGCAGATCCAGATGGAGTTTGGTCATTTGTTCCACCACCAGGGGGCGTACCTACCACTACCTTCCTGTAGAGAATATTGAACCATGGCACTTTTAATTGGCAGTGCATTGTGGGTTATGATGTTCTACACATCAACACATGCACAGGAAGGTATGGAGAAGCACATTACACAAATTTCACTTCATGTCTGAATTTCAACGAGAACATTTAGAATACTTCACCGTCATCGTCTGCAACAAGTCAAAAGTAATATGAATGTTAGTCTGAATGATTTTAAAATCTGTGAAGAAGACTTCTGGTCAAAACGTTGTGATCATTATAACCTTTTTTGCAGCATTTGAGCAAAGTGTGCGAGCCTCCACATCATCATATCACAACATTTAGTACATGGTCCCTTTATAAATCAAATAAATTAATGAATAATTAACAATAAATGACTTCAGTCCCACCGGTCTTGACCTTTAAATGGTGTAATGTCCCTCAGTTATTTGTTTGTTTTCCTTTTAGTTCAACTGAAAATGACAGTTAAAACATTCTGTATTAAAGTACTACCCAGGGATGCTTCCTCCATCTGGACCCTGGGCTTCTGTGAAGGATCTTTTCGCTCCATCCTCTCAACTAAATTGTAAATAAATATCCACTTTTGACGCGAGGAGGAGGCGGAGCCATAACATTATCTACAGACTTACATTCAATCTGTGTTGTGGATTATGTAACAAATACTTTTATTAACGTGTGGCGGTGAAAATGTCCAACCCTGTAGGAGAGTGTTGGAATAATTTTCCAGGACATTTTACTTTTTCTGTCATTTTCCAGTACTGGAAAATTATTCAACTGTTTTCAACTGCGAGTGGGAATCCAGCCCCCCCCCCCCAACAACACCCACTGTTATCAGAGCATTTTGGTTCACTTGGTTCATTTGGTGTAACTGGATCTCATTAAAAGACGAAACCAAATGTCAAAACACTTGGAAAACGGTTTAATGATGTTTACAACAAAAGAAAACTGTACATCAACAGTAAAAGATTATCTTTATATGTGTATAAAAACAAAACAAACAAAAAATACAGCAGACAAATGCATCAAACTCGACTATGTATCCTGATTCACATACTTAAGAACTCCTACACAATCTTTCAGTTCTATGCCGCCATGACAGATGGAGGCGATTTTTTTTTTTTTTTTTTTTTTTTAATGGGTTTTTTTTATCTTGTAGTCGGATCAGTGTCCCTCAGTGTTGTTGTCCATTATGAAAACCAGGACCCTTTACAATAAAGTCCTGGAAAGACTTCTTTTTTTTTTTCAGACTGCAGAATATGAAAAAGAGAGAAATCAAAAACAAGGACACATTCCTTTAAGATGAGCCCAAGTTTCCACCACATGAGTAGTAAATGTGTACAGAATGCATTTCTTGAGATACACAGACGTAGTATGTACATGTTTGACCGTTCCTTTTTTTTTTTTTTTTTCCCCCGCTTATTTATTTCTCTCGTTGAAAGCCATGGTCACTTGGGCTGTGAACTGATAATCACACACACATGACACACCCAAAAAACATACAAAAATACTATATCTTTAACCTACCAAGAGTAAGACAGTTCTGCAATTAGTTCCATGCTTTGACAGAAAAAAAGAGATTAACAACAAACAAACGAGAAACAGACGCTTTTTTTCACGCAGAGTTTTTCTCAGAAATATACCAAAATATACATCTAAGCTTTGGAATCACTGAGGCTATAGGACTAAAAGCCAGTGCTGGGTTTGTCTCTTAATACACATGCTGCAGGGTGAGAGGAAGAGAGGAACAGAGAGAAGAGAGAGAGACACACAGGACAGAGAGATATCTTTGGTATCTGCATTTGTCAAAAGTTAAAATATTTGGATTTTTGCTTTGGGTTAGCGCTCGCGAGGTCCTTACGACCTTCACCTTGGAGTAAAGCATTTTAAACAAAGTGTCACTGAAGCCCGTCCGGCACAGAGGTCTGAGCCAAAAAAGGGACACGGTCCACACAGAGAGAGAGAGACGGGACCATGATGCATAGTGTCACAGCTGATCAGAGTCTGTAGTGAGGAGACAATGACGGAGAGAGGAGAAGGAGACGAGGAGGGAGGACACAGCAGTGAGAGGATGTGTCGTCCTGACAAACAGATGTTTCAGGACTTTACAGTGTAAAGATGTAGAGGAAGAAACAGACATATTGTGAGAGGCAGGAGCAGCGTTTTCACCACAGTCTTAAAGAGTAAAAGAGAGAAGGGGGAGGGGAGGGAAGGGGGGAGGGGGACATCCTAGCAACAGCATCAAGACGGACAAACATACAGAGTCCTGAGCAGGTACAGTGTGCACAGGATTTAACCCTCAGTGTGTATTAACAAACATCACCCAGCTACCACTAGGTCAGTTTGTGTGTGTGTCAAGAGAAGCCCGCTCAGCCTAGTTTCAAACCCCCCCTCTCCCCTCCTCCTCCTCTCTGGTACCCCCACCCACAGGCACTGAAAAACCGCAGCACCGACAGATCGCCGGAGTGTGTGTGTTTTTTTCCCCTCCTCCAGGTTTAAACATTCGCATGCAATAAAAAAGCTTTTTAAGAGACGACTCGAAAGGGTGAGAGCGTGCGAGGATTTGTCGGGATTTGATGCTGAGCAGTGAGGCGGGGGAGACGGCGAGGGGGGGGAGACGGTGTCGTTCATATACAATCAAGTTAGAAGTCTTTGGTTAATGTTGGTACCACAGGAGAGCGAGAGCGGGTTGTTAGAAAGCGCAGCGACAAGAGGGGAGACATGAACATACCAGCACTCAGTCAGAGTGAAAATACAAAAAAAATAAATGAAAACAGGATTGTCAAACTTAAAAAGAAGTGTTCAAACATAAGAGCGGAAACGCTGTTCATATAACAAAGAGTTATTTCAGCTGACAGTGAAAAAGATTCAACACGTTGAACAAAAATTAAATTACAACAAATCATTTCCATCCAATGCTGAAAAACATAAAAAAAGAAAAAAAGCAGACATTCATAAGTAGTGGTATGCATTATGTCTCCACCTTGTGGCGGCTTTCTGAACAACGCTTTCATGAAGCACAAGGTGTGAACGGGCTTCTCATCCGACACAAGTTTGTGTATTTTCACCTTTTTTTTGTGATTTTTTTTTCATGTTTTTATTTCTTAAGTAGATTAAAGCAGGTTTTTACTCAGTCTTGAGTTAGAAATGAGGTATACAACAGCTCCATTTTGCCTTACTGGTGCTCCAAACTTCCTTTGTCATCGATTTAAAAAACAAAACAAAAAAACAACAACAGCAAAACCAGTGTGGTCAGTCAACTTTCTACAACTTGATGATGTAAAGCTGATCCACAAAATCTCCAACTATCAAGGTCACGTTATGATAATACAGTGTCAAAGCAAAAGCCAGTGATAAAGCAGATCAGGAGTTTATGGGTTAATAAGTTTCATTAGTGGAGATAAACAAACAGAATATGATCAAATCACTGTAGTTTTGTTGTTTTTAATATGAACTGGCATGCTTTAAAACTGTAGTAAATCAGTAGAGACCCCCGTCTGGACTCAAGTCAAAATAAGTTTAATCATGACTTTTTCTTTCTTTCTTAAATCACAAACATCGTCTGGAAGATGGAAATCAAAATGCACCATAATGGTTTGCAGACCGCCCTCCCTAGTCTCTCTCTCTTTTGAAGACACTCTCACACTCTCACACACACACACACACACACACACACACACACACCTGCTGGAATTATTAGTAAAGCTTTTCTCACAGGGTCGCCTCCACCTCGTCTGAGTCACACCTACAAAACATAGATAGCAACATAATCACGCTCTGAAATGCCCTAAAGAACATTTTAAGTTTCATTAACAATGGACCAGGTGAGCTCAACGCTCAAGCCCCTCCCCCCCTCTCTTTCTCTCTCTCTCTCTCTCACACACACACACACACACACAAACAAACACAACAATGCTACAATGCTCATGTCTTCTACGTAACAATAAGGCATAAATGATAATGTTAATTTTCTTTGTCAAACTAAGAAAGCCAGTGATCTCGCCCTCTCGCACTATACAAAACAATTAAAGGCATAAAGTAAAGTAAAAAAAAAACAATTGATTGTTAAAGACAGCACAACAAATCAAGTCCACAACAACTCAACCCACAACAACAAAAAAAACTCTATGACAAGATTAAGATCAGATATCTCAGAGTCAGAAGAACAAGGCCCTCCTGTTTTAAAAAAAAACCTCACAGGTGTCAGCGACTCACGATCCTTCAAGGCGCGGTCTCGTGTGTCATCTCTTATTTTTTGGTCTTGAAAATTCTCAAAAAAAAAAAAAAAATTGCTCTTTTGCAATAATAATAAAAAAAGGAAGATTTTAGGGGAGTTTTTTTTTCTGTTGAGTATTCATGATAAACACTACATTCAGTCTTGATAACATACTGGTTCAAATATAAAATATGAATATCTTACAAGTGTTTATATATATATATTTATATGTATAGAGTTAAGAAAAGATCCGTTCTCTAATTCTTAAGTCTTTCCTCAGATAAATATTTCAGTAACATCCTACGGTGCCGACGTGTTGGACTCTTAAGGAACTACAAACAGCAACTGGAATAGGCCCATCGCGGCCTCACAGGCAGGGAGAACCAGCAACATGAGCAGCCAGACACCCGCCTAGCTGCAAAGAGAAAGG